AAGGTCGATTTCTATCCGATGCAGCTCACTTTATGAATTGCATGGGTCAGAAGTGCTTTTCTGTATTTACCTTCTTCAGGGACATGCAAAGTAGATTATTTGAAAACCATTAATGTATAAGAACCGTAACCCCAACAGTTAAAGAGCTATATGACCTAGAAGGACCTAAAAATTAATTAACTTATATAAGAATTGTAACTTCAATATGGAGATAAATTGTTTCTATCAAAGTATTCCCTGTCAAACAGCTTTTTGTTACATTGGACTTCAAACATGAAATTCATGTTTTAATAGTATTCTTTTCTTTTGGTTATATAGCTCTTCAATTGTTTCGGTTCTTATACATCCTTGGCTTTCAAATTTTTGGCTTTTCAAAGTTCTTGATGAATGTAGGTCTAGAAAAGCACTACGGACACAGGGAATTTAAAACATGTTGTTTTCAATTCTTTTTTGGCTTTAATACCTGCGTGCTTTTATATAAACTATATCAGCTTATTATCACAGTAATAACTCTTGATATATATACTTTTTTCTCTCATAAAGTTAATACTTTAAAACAACACAAAACAAGTTAAAGAGTTACGTATGCTGGATATAACAAGTGTAGAAATAAAGTTTATACAAATAAATATCATGATAAATGTAAATTGCTCAAAAATATAAATAGTGCAAATAAAAAATTATCCACTTAATACAAAACTATTTACATATACATATGGGACTTTTTAATTACATCACAGAAGGAATAATCAAAAATAACAACTATTGTCAATTTTCAGATACTGTAAATTCAAAAATTATTGTGAGCATTTATTATTGCCAGTTTTGAAAATGTGTGATTAATTATTGCGATTTCAGGAAAATCTTCATACAGATAATATATCCTATATCAGAATGCATGTTCTTATTTTTGCAATACTCATCAAGTTGCAGAATTCGCATAAATAAAAACCTTGCAATAATTTCTGAATTTACAGTATTTCTGAGCACAGAAACAATGCGATCTTCTTAATATTGATTCTACAGATTATATCACATTCTATTTGGACATGCCGTAAGCATATCTGATATTCTCTTCAGACAATAAAAATATCACATTGGGTTTATTTCTAATATATGATCTTTTATCATAATAAAATATGGCATTCAAAAGCAAAAAACATTCTTATCAAAAATAAAAGAAGAATGTGTCTGAGGACACAAATGCCCCCACTCAAGCTTCAAACAAACAAAAATGGGACGGAAATAAGGAAGGACGGAAAGGCAGACGGTCAAGGATAAAACGTAATGCCCCCGTCCTTTACAGTGGGGGCATAAAATATAAACTTAATAAGTAGACCATAAAGTTGATTATCTTATATTGATTGAAGTGACTTTTGTTGTGCAAACTAACAATTGCAATGAACTACAGAAAACATACTTTATGCATAACATTTCAACTAAACAGACTTTTTCTTTTTTTTTAACAGGTTTTGGTAAAATATTATAGTTTTTATTTAACTTTTTAAATTGTCCTGAGTAATAAAACCTTTAAAACAGCCTCAAGTATGTTGACTGTTCAAATTTCTATTGGTTTTTCTAGGTAATGCATTTTACATTTTTCCCAGCTACACGTCTCTACTTTTTCAAATCATGCATCTTAAGCATACTTTTGAAAAACTCATTTCAAAATCTTATTATTTCAATTATCTTTTTCATATAGTTTAATAGTAACTTCTTCCTTTATAATTCATATGAAAAACATGTTGTTTTAAAATAATATTAATTTTTTTTTAAATGTTTGTTTCTAGTTAACAAGCACAGAGAAGTGTCTTGATTTTTTTCCTTCACCCAGAAAGCAAGTGCAGCGAAAAATTTGTTGTTGCTACCTTCTAAAGGCAACAATAAGTCACAAAGTTAAGTTAGCCATTCTGACATTATGTTTATTTGGAAAAGTAATTACAGTTATTAGATGTTTTCAGATTCTCACTTGCTTCTGACGAAAATTTTAAACTCTAGCAAATGATCTCATGCATTCTGTGTTTTTCATCCCTAAATACACCGCACTTTAACTAAATTCTTTAGTAAAGAAATTGTAAAACAAATTAGATTTTTTGGCTGGCACATCAATGTCAGTAGGTCTGTGCAACAGTATCTAGAACTAAAGTGAAAAAATTACATTCTAAGTGTGTTTCCGAATACAAGTTGTCTAAAAGGCAACGGCAAAATTTGTGGAATAGAATATGTTCTCTATAAGTTAAGAAAAATTTCAACTCCATTGTTGTAAAAATTTTGAAAGACGTGCGAGCAGCTTGGGTTTGAAGATTTCATATTTTTATTCAGTGTCTTAAATCAAAACATTTTACATTATAACTTTATAACTTTAAAAAGAAATAAACACAAATGCCTTGTATAAGTAAGTCATGTTTGATTGATGGGAACTATTTGGAAGAAACAAATTTGTCTCCCATGAACCAAACTAGAGGCTCTCAAGAGCCTGTGTCGCTCACCTGTATTTACTGATGCTTTGGAAATCATGTAAAATAAGGTTAAAATCATAATAAATAGTATTAGATATTAGATATTATAATGATATCTAAGATAATAACAAAAAACTGCAAAATTTCTGTAAAGTTACCAATTCAGGGCAGCAACCCAACAACGGGTTGTCAGATTCATCTGAAAATTTCAAGGCAGATAAAACTCAATCTGATGAACATTTTTGTCACCGTAAGATTTGCTCTAAATGCTTTAGTTTCAGGGATATAAACCAAAAACTGCATTTTACCCCTATGTTCTATTTTTAACCAAGTCGGCCATGATGGTTGGAAGGCGGGGTCATCGGACAAATTTTTTAAACTAAATACCCTAATAATGATTATGGCCAAGTATTATTAAAATTGTCTCAGTAGTTTCAGAGAAGAAGATTTTTGTAAAAGATAACAAAAATTTACGAAAAAATTGTTAAAAATTGACTATAAAGGGCAATAACTCCTAAAGGGGTCGACTGACAATTTTAGTCATGACGACTTATTTGTAGATCTTACTTTGCTGAACGTTATTGCTGTTTACAGTTTATTTCTATCTATAATAATATTCAAGATAATAACCAAAAACTGCAAAATTTCCTTAAAATTACCAATTCTTGGGCAGCAACCCAACAACAGGTTGTCAGATTTGTCTGAAAATTTAAGGGCAGATAGATTTTGACTTGATAATCAGTTTTGCCCTGTCAGATTTACTCTAAATGCTTTGGTTTCAGAGATATAAGCTAAAATCTACATTTTACCCCTATGTTTTATTTTTAGCCATGGCGGCCATCTTGGTAGGTTGGCGAGGTCATCGGACACATTTTCTAAACTAAATACCCTAATGATGATTGTGGCCAAGTTTGGTTAAATTTGGCCCAGTGGTTTCAGAGGAGAAGATTTTTGTAAAAAGCTAACGATGACAGACGACGACAATGACGACAACGACGGACGACGGACGCCAAGTGATGAGAAAAGCTCACTTTGCCCTTTGGGCCAGGTGAGCTAAAAAGGACCCCAAAATTAAGGTTAATATTTTTGTTGACCTCCATTGTTGCTTTCAAAAATGGTATTAAACTGTGTCCTGCTTTCCAACTGATCATTTGAAGTTTATGTACTGCAAATTCAGAAATTTTTGCTATTTTCTTTTTGCAAAAAATGTGATTGGAAACATTTTGCAAACATATAAACTGGCATTAAAATTTTGAAATAATTATTTTTGTATGCACATTTTCCTGAAATTGCAATAATCAATCTTGCATTTTTTACAACCACAATTATTGCATTCAAAATTTCTGAATCTACAGTATTTAAAAAAAAAAGAGTTTGTTTATGGATTTATGTAGAGAGCATCTTTCAATAAATTTTATATAAATAAATAGTAAAAGCATATTTTGAAAGACTACCATTTATAAATGTCTACTAATAACTTACAAAGATATGAATTTTACTAACAATTCAAATAATAACAATTATGTACTTATATTGTGTACAATTATTTGGAACCAAAACTAATACAGTTTGCCTTATAATACTCAATATTTCTTATTACATAGTAATAAGAGTAGTAAAGTAATAAACTATGCTAACAATACATTAATGTTAAAATAAACAAGAGTGCACACTCTGAAATGTCTCGCCTTCTTTACTAATCATTGATATTATGTTGATAGTCCTATATATAAAGCTTTATTACAACTGTCACATAAACTTAACATTAACCAAGAAAACTAAACATTGACCAATGAACCATGAACATGAGGTCAAGGTCAGATGAACCGTGCCAGGCAGACATGTACAGTTAACAATTCTTCCATTTAACAAATATAGTTGACCTAATGCTTATAGTTTAAGAAAAACAGACCAAAACACAAAAACTTAACACTGAGCAATGAACCGTTAAAATGAGGTCAAGGTCATATAAAACATGCGCGACTGACATATAGATCATAAAATATTTCCATACACTAAATATAGTTGACCTATTGCATATAGTATTAGAAAAAAAACCAAAACTCAAAAACTTAACTTTGACCACTGAACCATGAAAACCAGGTCAAGGTCAGATGACACCTTCCAGCTAGACATGTACACCTTACAATCATTCCATATACACCAAATATAGTAGACCTATTGCATACAGTATAAGAAAAACAGACCAAAACACAAAAACTTAACTATAACCACTGAACCATGAAAATGAGGTCAAGGTCAGATGACACCTGCCAGTTGGACATGTACACCTTACAGTCCTTCCATACACCGAATATACTAGACCTATTGCTTATAGTATCTGAGATATGGACTTGACCACCAAAACTTAACCTTGTTCACTGATCCATGAAATGAGGTCGAGGTCAAGTGAAAACTGTCTGATGGGCATGAGGACCTTGCAAGGTACGCACATACCAAATATAGTTATCCTACTACTTATAATAAGAGAGAATTTAACATTACAAAAAATGTTAACTTTTTTTTCAAGTAGTCAAGTAGAACCATGAAAATGAGGTCAAGGACATTGGACATGTGACTGACGGAAACTTAGTAACATGAGGCATCCATATACAAAGTATAAAGCATCCAGGTCTTCCACCTTCTAAAATATAAAGCTTTTAAGAAGTTAGCTAACGCCGCCGCCGCCGGATCACTATCCCTATGTCTCGCTTTCTGCGACAAAAGTCGCAGGCTCGACAAAAATGCTGTTAAATGCAAAGTTGGACATGGATATATATATTGGAAACACTTAGAAAACAACAAATCTGTTAAAAAATATACGTAATTTTTTTTTAACAAGTTATTTAATTTCAAACATGACTTTCCCACTATGTAAAGGTATTATATTTATATATATGTTAACATTCTGTCAGTCATTAAAACTCACCAAAGATACCAGAGCCATGTTTGGTTAAGATAACCCTCTATAAAATAGGCATCACACTATAGAAGATGTATGTCTGCCAAATGATTTCCATTTGGGCACACTGTTTGAACATGGGAGATCCAAGAAATTAAACGCTCCAAAAATAAAAAGGGAAGCATACTTCTTCTGATTAAAAAAAAAATGTTTTTAAAAAAACCTCAGTTATTTGATCGATTTATAAATATAAGTTTGTAGACTTAAACTTGTGTAAAACATTTTTGTCAAGTATGGGCCCCTTTCTGATCACTGACGTTGAAAGAGTTGCAATTTGTGAATAATAATCATCTATTCTGCTGTGTGAATCTTTGAATTTTGAACAATATTCTATTACATCCCCAAAATTAAATATCATACTTTTAACTAATCAAATATGTTTGTACACTTTCAAATCTTATAATATAATACACAGTTTACTTCCATCTTGACATTGATTGTCTGATGGTATGGTTACCCTGGTAACAGTTGTTATGTGATTGGCAGGTGCCCTGATGATGGTGGGTGGAGCCTCTATATGAGGCCTAGCTGGTGGGTCCTTCAGAAGACTAAAGTCTTTGCCATGTTTGCTTGCATTTAAGTCATCACTGAAAAACAGGTGTAAAATATTGATTTCTAAGGCCATGCCGGTCTGCATTTTAGTTTTTCAGTTCATTTCATCCCCCTAAAATGCAACACTGACAATTAAGTTATTTCTATTTTTTTCTCTGAACAGAATTTCAAGGTTACAGCTGAGGCAATCATTGAGAATACACACATATTTTTAGTATATGGATATATAATGATAATGTTGGTCAAGCCAAATGGGGGTAGATTATAATGTCTACATAATAAATTGACACCCAACTTCCTCTGAAAAGTGGGAAATTTTCTTGAGGTGTTTAGTTTTTATTTACTTTACAATTAAGACTAAATATTGAAAATATATGCACTGCTTTTTTTATAGATCTTTTAATTTGATTTTATTCAGCACTCTTACAATTTATATTTACCATGTTTATATTAGCAATATCATACCTGACATTGGTTTTTATATCCATGTCTACATTTTCATTATTTTTCACAGTACACTTGCTATCTGATGAACACTGAAGTGGATCTCTTAGACCTTTAAACAATGTGTTGTCATGTATTTGACCTTCAGAAATGGTTGTCATGGTAATGGCTTTGTCTGACTTGGAATGAATTCTGTTCTTTACAACCTGAAATTCATGATATTCAAAAGTATGTTAGTTGTGATATATGTGACTATATAATTAGAAACATTTTTCCCATGTGATTTGAACTGCTGGAATTTAAATTTTTTGAAGTTGTAAATGTGAGCATCGAAACAACCTTAAACTAGTAGAATCTGGTTTTATTGTATACATTTTCTTGACGAACATTTGATCTGATGAGTAATACTAAGTAATTAAGCCTTTCCCAAATCCTGTCATATTTGGTCACAATGATGTGCTATCAAACTTTGCTGGTATTGAGAATTGATCTTTTTGCTTGTATTCAATCATAAATCATTTCCAAATAGCTCTATAGTCAAATTTTTGTTGACATGAGTTACTAATCATAAAGTCATCAAAACAAATATAACAACCTGCACTAAATTAAGTTCATTCAACATACTGAAAAACTCAAGAGTATCAACAAAAAGGAAATAAGTGTCTGACAGACTCACACTTTATAACTCATCACTAACAAACTGTTGTAAATAGTACCTGAGAAAAGTGTGATGCAAAGAATTGTTGCAAAAACAAACAAACAAATAGAAGGACAAACAGACAAAGGAACAGAAGGATGAACAAAACAGACAAGGTGAATGTAATACTGTAAATTCAGAAATTATTGCAATGTTTTTATTAATTTAATTTAATTTACGGTAAAGACTCATTCCTAGATTGGGAGTACAATATATAAAAGTAGTATACCATATCTAACAAGTCAAGGTATAGATATAACAAAAGTCAAGAGTGAAAATAATGACACCATATAACTACAAGCAAATAGAGATCATTGGAATTGCCTGCAATGCAATTATCATCCATCACAAATTCTAAATCACTTTCAGAAGTGCAAAGCCAAAATATAAATAAGAGGACGTGGTATGAGTGCCAATGAGACAACTCTCCATCCAAGTCACAATGTATAAAAAGTAAACAAGTATAGTAAACCAAAGCATGACAAAACTGATAATAATGCAAGAGTATGGAAACTAAAGATTCTATAACTTAACAGGTTGGGTGCCACATGTGACAGGTGCCACATCTGAAGCAGTATCTGCATACCCGTCATGAATCATTATACAATACCTTTTACATCTGCTTATTATAATCTTATGCAACATAAAATAATGATATACAAATTTGGGTAGATTTAAAGTGATTGAGTAACATACCTTTACAGAGGGGTTTCTGTCTAGTTGTATGGCACTCCTCTGGTTTCCAACCACATCATTGTCCTCAATTATGACCTCACATTGACTGATAATACCATGGTCTCTGTTGTCATAAACACCATTGCCTTGGATTTTTATCTTAAATTAAAAAACAAATATGAATTTATTTACTTTTTATCATCTTTGACACACACATTTATTCTCAAAATATAGTACTTTGAAACTACTTTCCTTCAATGGATTCCTTATTTTCATCTTATTTATTCCATATTTCTTAACTTCTGCATTAACTACAAAAGCTGTATTTTTTATAAGCTTTTGACTCATTTTTGGTTATCTGTCTGGTGCTAATTAAAGTAAAACTGGCCGCTAAAATTTTTTAGAAACGGGTCTGAGGGAATACATGTGGACAATAAAAGATATTTTCAGTTAAAAGGAAGTAATTATTTACATAGTGGACCATTGTAGCATTTTTAGGTTCTGCATTTTCACTATAAAACATCTGTTGAAGTCAACCTCTGATTTTTCCACACCTTTGGGTGAAAATAAATATGTAAAACACATATGGTGCCACAGCTTTTTTTTTATTGAAAAATGGCATTTTATAAGGGAACTCTCTGATTCTGGACTTTTAGAAGTAGCATGAATGAAGAACACCCCTTGCTTAATTTTGCACATAGAACTTTGCCCATCACAAAGAGTTTCCACAAAATTTCTCCCTATTTTAACACATAACCGACATTCATATCTCACTATTTCAATTTCCTTTTCTAATCAACGGTTCAGCAGAAAAAAAAATTACTTCTACCTACTATGTTGGAGGTGAAAACAAGGTAGTGCCCATCATTTTTATCTACCTTGGATGTGAAAAAAAGGTGGAGTCCATCATTTTTCTACCTTCTTTAACCTGAAACAGTTAATGATATTTTCAAGGGAGATAACCCTACCTTTCCTTGATTATCTGTTATAATACCATTTCCACTATTACATGTTACACTATTATCTTTCACCAACACAGGAGAGTTCTGGTTTAGTAGTATACCATCTCTTCTGTTACCATGGACAGCATTACACTGAATTACCAACTCATCACCAAAATTACTTTTTATTCCACAACCTAAAATCATATTTTTAAAAGTTACAAGATGCTTTTTAAAAAGTTGGTTTTTATTATTTAGGTAAAATAAGAAAACGATTTGATGAGATTTTTATTTTCTTTCTGAACTGTTCCACCTAAACATATCTAAAAATACAACATAATATTCCAAAATTATTTCACTCATACAAAACAAAACTCAAACACTTCTGTAATTCAGAAATCTCTCCCACCGATAAACTAATTTACTGAATATTTTCTAGATATTTTAAAAGTATTTCATTCCTTTGTTAACAACTTTTACACCCCTGCTGTGTCTTTACCAAGTAAGTATAACTAGCTCCTATGTTATTCTATTTTTTTTGTTTATAAACACTCTCACTAATTATTACAACTTGCATCACTTTATCAAACCCGCACCACTCAAAAAAAGAAATATAACAAACTCGAAGAAATGTGTTTAATCATTAGATTGTTTTCTTCTCTTAGTAAATTCCTCCTTTCTCGGAGCACCTGTGTCACACAGAGACAGAACTCGCACCACTTGAAAAAAAATATACTACAAACTTGCACCACTGAAGAAATGTTTTAAATCATCAGAGAGTTCTAGATCGTATTCTCTTAGTTATTTCCTCCTTTCTTGGAGCACCAGTATCACACAGAGACAGAACTTGACTCGCACCTTTCGAAAAAAAAAAAAAAAATACTACAAACTAGCACTATTGAGAAATGTTTTAATCATCAGTGTTCTAGGTTGTCTTCTTCTTCTCTGAGTTATTTCCTCCATTCTAGGAACACCTGTGTAACACTGAGACAGAAGCTACTAATTGGACATTCAAACTCCTATGGAAAAAGAACTGACAAAATAATCAAAACCAGAGGCAGATTTAGAGGGTTTTCCAGGGGGCCGGGCCCCTCTTTTGTGGGAAAAATTTGGTTGATTATTTAGGGAATCACTGAAGCATGACTGGAGCGGGCCCCCTCTAAGGCAGTCAGTGGGACCCCCTTATGAAAATTTCTGGATCTGCCACTGAAAACTATCAACATAATGCATCAGTGCAGAAAAACAGTTTGAGAAACACGAACCCAAGCAGTGTATCACCATAAACATTTCAAGTAGTCTTCAACCCGCGCTCACACAGGTTTTTTCTAGTTGTGTATAAGTTTCATAACATTTGGTTGAGGCAAACTTGTTAGAGAACAGAAACCAATTTTGGGAGGTATGTATTGACTGACGGACAAGGGTAACACTTGATGCCCCCTCTCGAATTCAAAGGAAAAACCTGTTCGTGAAGTTTTGTTTTTGTGTTTTTTTATCCATGAATCTTTTCTTCCTTAAAAATCAAATTTACAGGAGGCTATATTTTCAAGATTTTTCCTAATCCTGAAATTTGCAAAAACAAATCCCATCATAAAAATTTCCCATTTTACAGTATTTCATATTTTGGAAATTAATCCATGTAAAAATTGATTTGGATTTTACCATTATTATGGTATATGCTGTTGTATTCCACAGTGGCTCTGGTACACATTCTCCTTGGTGGTGGCTGTTCATCATTAAATAGCTGCCACATCTGCATGCTACGCTGACTTGTCATTTCTCCAATGTCAACATTCATTGTCTCACCTTCATGGGACAGATCCTGATTAAAAAAAAAAAATAACTGTTACTAGACCATATGTCTCCCCTTCAACAGCTTTTCACCAACATAACAGTTATTGTAAACAATAAATTTCATGAGCAGCAGGTTTCAACTTACAGTTGATGCTAACTTAACTGCCTTCCTGTGTAGCGAGGACATTTTAACACTGTAATTTAACATCATTTATTTCATTTTCAAAGTTTGTTGTAATCCTTTTGGTAGTTGGGCTTTACAGGTTTTCATTGTTTTTTTTTCATTTAATGACATATGAAACACATAAGAAAAGAAAGAGGTGTGTAAGCATGTAAAACTGGTTCAACATCACCTCATCTTGTGCTGGTACCAAGTTAGGCTTTCTGACACACGAGTATTTATTTTTATGTTTTATGTTACAGATTTGAACATAGTAGTACTGCTTATTATACTTCCACTCTTTTTGTGTTTTATTTGCTAAGCTTTTATAATTTGTAACTGCTGTGCTTTAGTGTTTTATGTTGCTTTTGCTTAGTGCTCATGCATGCATATAATGTGTAGTATTCAAATTAGTTCAGCCTTGCCTAACTGTGCATGAAATATTTTTTTTATGTCTTTTATGCTTTAATACTAGTATTGTGTATGTTTATGTGTATGTTTATTGTGTAAATGTTTGTATTTGTCAGTTATAAAAGCTCAAAGAGCTTATGTTATTGTTTAATGACATGTCGACTATTAATAAAGCTTTTTTGACTTGATTTTTTATTTTGTGCTCTTTATTATTCTTTGTCTGTTTTCTCAGAAACTTTGGTGCTTAGTGTGTTTCTTGTACAGTCTCATATATTCTTTTATTCCTGTTCTTTTTATGTCTTTCATTCCTGTTCTTTTTATGTTTTATCAAAATTTCATTAAATTTTCTACAACAAAGTGTTTGACTTCTTAAAAATTGTCTTTAATATATTTAGAAGGGCGTTAACGGGGGGTATCTTCACGGAAGAAAGCGAAATAAAATTGCCATTTCACGATGAAGGAACACTTAAAAATTTCTTGCACGTTGATCTTTGTACCGATTTCTCGAAACACAGTGAATAACGAACCTTTTTCACGGCTGCACGTGAAATAAAAATGGCAAAACACGTTGCATGAAAATAACCCTTTACCACCCTCTATTTATGATGTGTTTGTGATGTAACCATGGATACTTACAGTTTTGTTTACAAAGGTGATACCATTGCTTCCATTGTTGTTGATCTGGTTCCCATGGATCATTGGTTGACAAGCAGTAGTAACCCAGACTCCACACCCAGAATTCCCTGTGATAATATAGAGATGTTAAAATTATGATATGAAATTAAATGTAATTTTAAATGACTTTTAACTTTTTCTTTTTATATACAGTTGAAAATGTTTCAGCAACCAGAGAAGCCTCATATTGCTGCCCTTTTCCTTCCTCTCCTATCACATGAGCATAACACTACCCATAACAGTTGTGATTACTTACCAGATATCACATTATTTTCTATGCTACCCTTTCCTTTCTCCCCAATAACAACACCATCAGACAGACCATTACAGATGATATTCTGGACTATAACTGGGTCACCTCCATGTCGAATGTCCACACCTCCCCAATGGTTCTCGGATATGACATTATCTGAAAAGAGAGAAAATAATAACATTGATTGATTGTTGGTGTTTAACACCACTTACAGCACTCATAGCAGCCAGAGTATATGAAGGGAACCACAACCTTCGGCAGGAAAACTAGCCATCCTAATCAATTATCTGAATTTGGATTGTGATCAAATTTTTGACATAATATAGGTTTCTGACACAAAATAAATGTGGTCAAAGATCTTACAAATCTAATGCGCAATACTGTGCAATTGAATAAAATTCCTTCACATACATAATCATGGCTAAAATTAAATAATTTTTAAAATAGAAAATGACATCATAATCATACTAAAATTGAAAAGCCTCCATCAGCAACATAAAATAGTAAAATCTAAAATTTGTGGTATAATTTCAGAGAGATCAATACACCATTTCACAAGTTATTGTCTGGAAACTAAAAAAATGCTTATTTGAGCCCCATTTTGGCCCTTAATTCCTGAACTGTTGGGACCATCACCCCCAAAATCAATCCCAACCTTCCTTTTGTGGTCATAAACCTTATGGTAAAATTTCATAGAAATCCATAGACTTAAACAAAAGTTATTGTCTGGAAACCAATGTGTCTTCGGACGACGACGACAATGACGTGATACCAATATACAACCGCAATATTTTTGTGGTCATATAAAAACAGTCCAAAACGAAAAACTTAACATTGACCAATGAACCATGAAAATGAGGTCAAGGTCAGATGAAACCTGCCAGACTGACATGTACCCCTTACAATCATCCATACACCACATATAGTTGACGTACTGCTTATAAAATCTGAGGAACGGACCCAGTCACGTAACTTTAACCTTGATCACTGATCTATTACATCAGGGTAAGGTCAGGTGAACCCATTCTGACTGACATGTAGACGTTGCAAGGAAGCCATATACCAAATATAGTTATCCTATTACTGATAATAAGTAAGAAATTCAATAGACAAAAACCTATAACTTTTTTTCAAGCCATCGCTGAACCATGAAAATGAGGTCAAGGACAATGAACCATATGACAGATGGAAACTTTGTAACATAAGATATTTGCATACAAGGTATGAAGCATCCAGGAATGCTACTGGAAATATAAAGCTTTAAACAAATAGTTTACACCACTGCCATCGGATAGTTATTCCTAGGCGACAAAAAGTGAGACAAAAACTGCAAGCAGAGCTCACCAATTCATACCCTCCCTCCTCCATTTGTATTGATATGACTTACTGGTAATATACCCTGTTCCTCCTTCATTGATAGCTATCCCAGCAGCCTCTCTCCTCCATTTATATAAATATGACTTACTAGCAATAAACCTTGTTCCTCCTTCATTGATAGCTATCCCAGCAGCCTCTCTCCTCCATTTGTATAAATATGACTTACTGGCAATATACCCTGTTCCTCCTTCATTGATAGCTATCCCAGCATCTCTCCTCCATTTGTATAAATATGACTTACTGGCAATATACCCTGTTCCTCCTTCATTGATAGCTATCCCAGCAGCCTCTCTCCTCCATTTGTATAAATATGACTTACTGGCAATATACCCTGTTCCTCCTTCATTGATAGCTATCCCAGCAGCCTTTCCACTCCTCCATTTGTATAAATATGAATTACTGGCAATATACCTTGTTCCTCCTTCATTGATAGCTATCCCAGCAGCCTCTCTCCTCCATTTGTATAAATATGACTTACCGGTAATATAACCCGTTCCTCCTTCATTGATAGCTATCCCAGCAGCCTCTCTCCTCCATTTGTATAAATATGACTTACCAGCAATATAACCCGTTCCTCCTTCATTGATAGTTTTCCCAGCAGCCTCTCTCCTCCATTTGTATAAATATGACTTACCAGCAATATATCCTGTTCCTCCTTCATTGATAGCTATCCCAGCAGCCTTTCCACTGTGGATATGGTTCTTGCTAAAGAAAATAAATCATCAATTACCTCTAGCTATGTTGTTATGTAGTAACAGTAATCTGTTGTATGTAATAAAATAAAATTTTGTCTTTAAATTGATTTGTATGTTAATTATATGGTTAGTTTTGTTTTGTTTTGGATTAAATTATGTTTTTCTTTCTTGTAATTTTTAGAACAGATACAAGATGCAAGCAAAATGCAAAATTTATGAAATTTTCTTCAACTAGTATGGTTAAACACATACACATCATTTTGTAACTTGAATATCTGAGTAAATATTTCATTGTTTGAAATTTTCATTGATTTGATAAGATGTATTTAATTTTGTGCACAAGGTCCTATGTTTTTTTATATCTCAAAAGTAGTAATAAAGTCTTGAAAATTGATAACTATCAAGCCAGCCCCATAAGGGTATTTCATTGCATAAATGAAATCTTTACCCCAAAAAATCATGTTTGGACAAAAAATCTTGACAAAAAATAGGAATAACACAATGACTATCTCTTACCTGACAATAGGATTTCCCCTGTACAGAATGTATACTCCAGCCTCCTTGTTTTGGTAAATCTCGTTACTTTTAATCTGACCACGCCCACTTCCAAGTACAACAATACCTGATCTCTTACTGTGATGAATTCTGTTGCACTATAAATAAAGTTAAAAACAATATCTTTATTAAAGAGATTAGATCCACTTCCTCATTAGTGTATCTCAAATTATTAAAAGGATACTGTGGATTCATTATTATTCGTGGGGTATTAATTTTCGTGGATTTCATGGGTACAGGTGAACCACAAACTTGAATATTCATGAAATACAATTTTTCTCAAAGTTTGTATACAGACTTTGGAAAAACCACAAAATCAAATATCCATGAAAATATGATTGTTCTTTATTCCACACAAATGTGTATCCACAAAAAGAAATGAATCCACAATCTATAAAAAATTAAATTATCACGTAAATTATCTGCTATATGGTAAATAACTCTAGTGTCAACTTGATTTGCATGATTACTTTTTATTTAACATATCAAAGCTCTTCAATAAAACAAAAGTAATTTGATGTCAAGATTTTCATCAATCCCGAGCCTCAGCAAAGAAGAAAAAAGGCTGTAGGAGTTTTTTTTCATATCTTTCTTATCAATTTGGGAAATTGGTATTGAACTTTTTCAACACTGACTTGTACTGTAAATTGAGAGGTTTCTGTATGCATAAAAAGACACAAATGTAAGATTAGTTATTATGATTTCAGAAAATGATTCATATACATAATTCTATTAAAATTTGAAATGTGAGTTTTTATTTTTGAGAAACCTATCCCTTCACAATTTTTGCAATAATAAAAACATTTCTGAATTTGCAATATATCTTGTAACAAACTTAATCATATCTTCCACAAAGAATCTTAAATTTAAAAGTGCAGAAGGTATTTAAATTGATACTTTTAAAATATGTGATAGGCTGATTGATATCAAACAAATTCTTGAAGGATGGAAGGCTGTTTGTTTAACATTCAATGGCAAATTAGGACGAGAACATGATAATGTAATATGACTTAAGATCCTGCTTTGTTCTAGATGAACACACTGAGTGAGATGTTTTAACGTGCTAGTACACAAGGTGAAAGCCTGCAGGAAGACATGTCACCCTACCCGGACACATGATTCCGACTTCGAGCCATCCAATCTTTGCTCTTCCTGCACTCAAGGCGAGCACACTACCACAAAACCATGGAGTCTGTGAAATTCTTAATGGCAAATAAACATCTTGAAAAAATCTTAAACTGAACTTAGTCAGGAGCCTGTAATTCAGTAGTTGTTGTTGGTTCATGTCTGTCATATTTTTTTTTCGTAAATTGTTTTGTAATAAATTAGGCCATTAGTTTTCTCTATTGAATTGTTTCATATTTTTCATGTCGGGGCCTTTTATAGTCGAGTACATGGTATGGGTTTTTCTCATTGTTGAGGCCGTACGGTTGACTATAATTGATTAATTCCACTTTATTTGAAATTTTGGTGGATAATTGTCTCATTGGCAATCATACCTCATCTCCTTATTTTTATATTTATGTATTCTAAGAGTATTTTAATTTTACCTGTACAATAGGATCAGCATTCTTTCTAATATCAATACCAGCCTCACAGTTGGAATGTATATCATTACCTAAAACACAATTAAAAAAACAGTAATTCCACAGATACAGTGAAGAATTTAACTTTTTTTGACAGAAGGACTCTAAATTATTGAATAGTTAACAGTCATCAAAGGCCAACAAAATATATTGTTTCTGTTAAAAAGATCCAACTTCCATAGTAGATCTAACAAGAATTTAGCTATTCTCTTTTATGTAACTTTTGGTCAGATAACTCCTAATGTTTTTACATATTTAAACATCACTGTTTTTATATGTTTGTGTTTGATCGCTCAAAATTTATAAAGTGTACATGTTATTTTCATATAAAGATGAGGTAATCATTTTCATGTGTCATATCCTCTTTGGTTGTGTCTTCAAGTTGTATTTTAACCCAAAAAAATTTATATTTCACATGGGAGATTTGCCTTACCGGAACATAAAAGTTAAAGAAAGAAAAAACTTGACACAGAGACATGTCTCTCCCCTGTGAGTTCTTATCACATACGTTTGTCTATGAAGTCAGAAACAGAATGATGAAGTCTTGTTTCAGCTATTTTGGAGCAGATGAGAAAAATATATTTCAAATTTATCTGGAAATTTACTTTGCTAATCACCTACAAGAACAGAGGCTAAGATATGTCTCGCTTTTTTGTAATTTCGATAATGCAAATGTTGAATTTAAATAGCAACACTTTCACATGTAAGTTTGCAAATACTCAAAGTCAATAAACCATGACTGAAGGTAAATGGCTAAACAATCTCCTTGGAAATGAGATGTGCCAATGCTAATACAGCTGCATACCAAATACCATTGACTTTTATCATAAGTAGTTCTCTTTAAACAAACCTAAACACAAACTAATACATGTAAACTAAGCAAAATTTCAAAGTCAATTAACCATAACTGAGGGGGCGGGGTCAAATAATCTCCAGGGTAATGAGATGTGCCAATGCTAATACAACTGCATACCAAATATCATTGACCTACCATTCGTGGTTCCCAATAAACCGACTTAGTCACAAACTAATACATGAAAACTAAGCAAAAGTTTCAAAGTCAATTGACCATGACTGAGGGGGCAGGGCCAAATAATCTCTAAGGAAATGAGATGTGCCAATACTAATACAACTGCATACCAAATATCTTTGACTTACCACTAGTGGTTCACCATAAACTGACCTAATCACAAACTAATACATGAAAACTAAGCAAATATTTCAAAGTCAATAGACCATGACTGAGGGGGCAGGGTCAAATAATCTCCATGGAAATGAGATGTGCCAATACTAATACAATAAAATTGAGAATGGAAATGGGGAATGTGTCAAAGAGACAACAACCCGACCACAGAACAGACAACAGCAGAAGGCCACCAACAGGTCTTCAATGCAGCGAGAAATTCCCGCACCCGGAGGCGTCCTTCAGCTGGCCCCTAAACAAATATATATACTAGTTCAGTGATAATGAACGCCATACTAAACTCCAAATTGTACACAAGAAACTAAAATTAAAAATAATACAAGACTAACAAAGGCTAGAGGCTCCTGACTTGGGACAGGCGCAAAAATGCGGCGGGGTTAAACATGTTTATGAGATCTCAACCCTCCCCCTATACCTCTAGCCAATGTAGAAAAGTAAACGCATAACAATACGCACATTAAAATTCAGTTCAAGAGAAGTCCGAGTCTGATGTCAGAAGATGTAACCAAAGAAAATAAACAAAATGACAATAATACATAAATAACAACAGACTACTAGCAGTTAACTGACATGCCAGCTCCAGACTTCAATTAAACTGATTGAAAGATTATGTCTTCATCATATGAATATCAGGCACAATCCTTCCCGTTAGGGGTTTAGTATCATACCATCATAACATATATGAGAAGAACATAACCCGTGTCATGCCAACAACTGGTTTTTAAATAAATGTGTTTAGTGCAGATGCAAAGACCCTATAAGTGAATCAATATCAACGCCAAAATATGCAATCTTTAATGACCTGACAACAGTATCGTAACTATATCCCTTCTTAATAAGTCTATTTAAAGGTTTTGTTAGTTTCAGAGGTGAATACTGACATTTTTGTGCTTTATAAAGAATATTTCCATAAAAAATTGGATGTGAAATACCTGAACGTATAAGAAGTCTGCATGTTGAGCTATATTTACGAATGATGTCCTTATACCGATGATAAAATTTAGTAAATGTTTTGACTAGTTTGTGATATCGAAAACCCTGGTGTAATAATTTTTCAGTAATACATACATTTCTCTCGTTAAAATCTAAAACATTGTTACATACACGAGCGAATCGTACAAGTTGAGATATATAAACACCGTAAGATGGTGACAAGGGAACGTCACCATCTAAAAATGGATAATTAACGATAGGAAATGAAAAATCATCTCTTTTATCATATATTTTAGTATTAAGCTTTCCGTTAATGATATAGATATCAAGATCGAGGAAAGGGCAGTGGTCATTGTTAGTATTAGCTTTATTTAAAGTAAGTTCAACAGGATAAATTTCTTTAGTATACATACTGAAGTCGTCATTATTGAGAGCCAAAATATCATCCAAATATCTAAAAGTATTATTAAATTTGTGTATCAGATGTTGTTTCGATGGGTCTTTACTGATTTTTGTCATAAATTGTAACTCATAGCAATACAAAAAAAGGTCCGCAATAAGTGGTGCACAGTTAGTCCCCATTGGAATTCCGATAACCTGACGATATACGGAATCTCCAAAGCGAACAAAAATGTTATCTAGTAAAAATTCAAGGGCATATATAGTATCAAAGCATGTCCAATTGACATAGTTTTTTTGTTTATTGCTACTAAAAAATGACCTAAAAGAGTTTGAACATATATATTCACATTCTGACTTTTTAAATGCCCATTTAATTAGGTGTGTGAATTTTTTCTTAATGAGAATGTGAGGCAATGTGGTATATAGGGTAGAAAAATCAAAACTTTGAACAGATTCAAAATCACCAATATATGCATGCAATTTATCAAGTACTTCCAACGAGTTCTTGACACTCCAAAAGTAATTAATTCCACTATTTTCGAAGGCCTTATTTGAACAATTTATTATCAGGTTTTTGATTGTACCAAGTGTACTGGTAAGAAGAATAGACAATTTAGTAGTGGAACAATGGCTTGAAGACGAAATGAATCTATATTTGTAAGGTGTTTTGTGTAGCTTCGGAAGCCAATACATAGTTGGGACTTTCATTGTATTTGGTTCTGCTTGTAAAGCGGTAGCTAAAAGTTTATGTTTGTTACAGATGTCGTTTTCTGAAAATGGAGTCAGTTGGAATGTTGGTGAATTGGTGATTTCTTTTTTCAGAACCTCAATGTAAAATTTACGTCAAACAATAATAATATTATTAGCAGCTTTATCGGCCGGGACAAAAACAAATTCCTTGGCTAGTTCTTTTAGTTTATGTTTGATACGAGAAATAGGTTTATTGTGGTTATTGTTAAGAGTAAAATGTTCTTTAAAATGTTGAATACGTATATCAACTATGTTCATTACTGATTTAAAAAAAGAGTCCAAAGATTTTTTGTCAGCTTTTTCCCGTTTTATCCATTTCAAACAGTAAGTATGGAGTGAGTCGTGGATGATATTACGACACTCATTCCAATTAATAATTGACGGGGGACGATATTTAGGTCCTTTACTGAGGAATGATTTTAACTCTCGGTCTTGAACGATGTTAAGATCTCCTGTTATAACATGGGAAATGGGTCCATAAATGTATTCGGAATTACTGCAATTACATGAAGTAGGTGTATTTTCACTGATATTAACATCTTTACACAATTGGCTATAATTAAACACAAATTTCCGGGTAGATTTCTTGTAAATATAACAAATAAGAGGGAGCTCAGTATTATCAAAATATCCCGGAATTTGTTCTTTAACAGAATGGTCGTTAAAAATACCGGCAATATTTACAAAATCAAAACCTTTATTGACATACTTTATTTTAATAAACTGTTTTTTATGATCTTCAGGGCGATCAATTTTGGGAAACAGTTTAGAATAACAATATGCCATTATAACACTGCATACCAAATATCTTTGACTTACCACTAGTGGTTCACCATAAACTAGACCTAATCACAAACTAATACATTGTTGACTGTAACCGCCGACAACAGAAACAGCATACCTATGTCTCGCTTTTTGACTCCGTTAAGCGAGACAAAAACAAAAAAACGTGAAAAGATGAATAACAGTCTTCAAAATACTACATAGAAAACTAAAGATTGAGCAACACGATATCATCATTAGCTCTAGTGTATGATAACACTACACCATTTTATGAGAAATTAAAATGAATGCCAATAGAACATTTTTGTTCAATTCCATTTCAGGTGGTACCCAACACCTTGACTAATATTAATTTGGCTCGTTTAATTTTCATAAAATTTTGACAAAATGTTTACTTTGTCCCTTTGACAGAAATATAAAAATTTCAAAAAATTTGAACCAACCACTTTATCAGAAAAATTTCACTGGTTATATAGCAGTTTGACAAACACTAATTTTGATCATAGAGAAGCTTAATATTTCCTTAACAATATAACGTGATTAAAACGTTTAGTTGATTTTTACAGAGTTATCTCCCTGTAGTGTTAGGTACCACCTTAATACAAACACACTCAATTTAACTTAACTACACAGGACAGGTACTAAAGACATTAAACTTCAAAGAAATTGTATATTTGAACCGTTGCAACAAAATAATTAATCCTACCTGCTATCACACCTGAAGCTGCTAATCTCATAAAAATCCCTGAGGTTCTACAGTGGTGAATCTCATTCTTTAATATCACAACCTGAAAAATATGCGTTAATCTACATGTATAGCAACACTATAATTTTTTTCCATGACGCTATAATTATTTTGAGGATGCTATTTTTTCTTGTCTCTAGACATTGCCGCAAAATCGATGTCCTAATTTTTGAGCTTTCATCTAATTACCGCTTGTGATCATAAAAATTATATCACCTTTAATTGTAATCCCTTCAAGTCGGACAATAGAGGCAATTAAGAGTGATTAAATGGGTGTTAATTGTCCTTTGGGCAATAACTATTTGGATACGAATATCCCAAGCTGACACTTATGACCTGACTAATAACATTTTGACCAATCGCAAATTTTGGCATCAAGAAAATGGAAACAGAAAATCATAAACAATTCGAAATCTACGTTTGTATCATGGCATAACCATCTTCTTAGATAAGAAAAACCTAAGCAGGGTACCTCGATGTTAACAAAATGGCTGACCAAACGCAATTTTTTTCATGTCAGTTAAACAGCAATTTTTCATTTGCAAGTAAAGAAATTCAAAGATATAAACAATTTATTTCTTTAGAAAAGAGGTGATAGCACTAACTTTACAGATTGGTCTTATGTTATTTCAAACGAACAACTTTTAAAGAAGTATTTTCTTTCCCTTCCAGTACTTGTTACTAGAGAGCGTACATTAAACATTTTGATTTTCGGCAAAATAAGTTTGATACTTCATAAGAACGTGATGAAAATTGCCTTTAGTAAATGGTTCATCCATTTATTACAGTTCAAGCGTCATATTAATTCCAAACCACTTGTCAAACATTGTTTATTTTTCGTTAATTTTTCTTCGACCGCCATTGAAATATTTGTACAAACTACGGATCGGATGCGGGATTCATCGGAAACAGACCAGCTATGACCAAAATCCGCATTTTTACAATAATAACTACAGATGCACAAACGGCACAGCAGACAAATTAAAGTAATAATGATCCCAAAAGGGAAAAACTACGCATTCAGCAAGCATTTACAGACTATTTGTTAGAACTCCTTGCTAAATGTATTTATTTCTATGTAAATGCATTGTTTCAATTTACTGATTAAATTAGCTTAATTTTGTTAAATATATATATCTCTTTGATAAGAAACAACTGGGACTAATACATTGAGTATTGAGTCCCAGGAAACAATGAATTTCATAAACATGATAAATAGAATAGTTTTTTAATTGAAATTTGATTACTATATGATACTTTCTTTTCCTTTTTGATCTAAAATACTTTCTTTTTTGTACTAGATATTTAGTTGGTAGTTTCTGACAAGAGGAAAAATATAATTCTGTAACTATAAATGAATGTTGGAGACATAAACTGAAACAACTGTTATACTTTAACTGTATTCTCAGTTATGAATTGAACAATATAAACATTACTTAAAAGGAAATAGAGCATGGCCGCGACACGACAAATGACACTGAAAAAAAATACAATTTATTTTTTTACGCCAAATGTGATGCTATCCAAAATTTCTGGGGAGAACACTGCCCCATGAATAATAATGAATCCACACTTTGCAAACCTGTATTATTGGGTGTGTTTGCCAAAAATCATAAATGATTATCTAAAATAATGGGAGGACTACAGTACGGGAAGAGACTATAAATAACGGACTGGGACATGTCGGAAATGAATAATCTGACTTTTTTATGGTAGGAAGTATGGTCATTAATCAACAGATCCAGGTGTGAACGGTAACATAATTGTCCTTTCATCTCAATCCGTGCTACTAGATTATTACGCTTCACTGATTTCAGAATCAGGTTACCTGTGATGTAAACCTCTCAGTCACTTTATTGATAAGTTCTAAATCGTATTTGACATAAAATATTTTTACAGGTGAAGTACTGGAGACAACTTTGTTTTAATAAAAATAGCCTATTTTTTTAATTATGGCTTTTTATATTTCAAATGCTGTTTATATTCCTCAAAATATTATTTTCTATGTTCCCTTGTTTTTTTTTTTGTTATGTATCTTTTTCGTATTTGTTGGCATACAGTTTTTAAAATATTTTCTTTTTTATTTCTGGAAGGTTATTTTTGTTTTACTGATTTATTTTCCACGTAAACCCATTGATTAGCAGAATCATGTGCAAAGTGCTGCTGCATACGTTTTAGTTTGACAACACTACATTTGTATTTAATTTTCAGTCTGCGTTGGGTCAGTTCTGAAATAAAAATAATTACAGTGAGAAATACTTGTATACTAGTAATTTGGTGATTCTTTATAATTGTGAATTTACTTTTTACTGTAAACAAATATTGTCCGAAAGTTGGTGATATATAACTAAAGTAGTACGCAAATAATAACACTAGAAGAAGATAACGATTCTTCTCGGGAATTAGGTTTATTTTGATATTTCTGTGTTTGTTAAATATGCATGAAATAATTGCCACTGAAATGAATGGACATTAAAACTAGAAGCATTCAATCGTTTAATGACCAGTTAATTAAATATTTACTATGATTTGTAGTCTAAAGAAATGCAACTACTATTCAAAATAATTTTATGGTGCTGCATTGACTCTTAATTGCATAATATTAATTTACGCACAATGCATGTTAACTTGTATGATGTATTTTTGACACCAATCTAAAAAAAATATTTGCCATGAAGATCAACAGCATGTGGTTGAACTTTGAACTTGACCACTCACACTACAATGTTGAATGCTAAAAATAGCTGGGATTAATTTTGTCAAATGCACGTGATTTTCATATGGCGGGAAATATCGTAACAGTTAACACAGGTGACCTTACTGACCGACCGTGGGTAAATCTATTCATGATTTAATTTGATACGTAATGATTGGCAGTATTGTGCGTTAGTTTTGAGGCTCTTGATCGAGATCCATTAAAAATTGATTTACCAGAATAGAAAATTTAATCCTTGTAATTATAAACAAAACAAGCTTTAGTCTTCTTTAACTATTTTATTTATTATATTTATCAGTCAACACCCAGATTCCTATTTAAATAATTTATTCGGACACCTCCTTTAAAGTTCGGGAATTATACAATTTAAACTGCCGACATCGATTTACAAAATCTTACTGACTGCACGAGCTTTAGAGAATGGCTAGAAATATGACGCAAAACTAAAGACGGCTGATCATGAATAGTGTAAAACTTTGATCTTCGTGTATTGATTGACACAATTCGTAAAATATGTTTATAAAAAACACGATTTTCATTAAAATTTCAAACATGGAAATAGAAAGCAATATCTTTGTTATAATACAACAAGTGTCAACAAATCTGTTATTTCCATTATATGTAAATTTATTAACAAACAAAATTTAAAATAATGCTGGGTCATAGAATATTGACGTGCATATGAAAAGTTTTTTTTACATGCATATAAAAACTAGGAATCGAAAGATGATCACGGCGTTATAAATATTGTAAAAAAAACAATTGTTTCAAAGAGATTAACGGGAAATATATGTAAAAATAGAAAGCACGGATGATCTGGAAGACCAAATTGTTTTACTTGCGAGAAATGATTGACAGGTATGAATAGACGTAGAGGCTCCGACGGGGAACGTGGTATCGAAAGGAAAATAACAGTTTATTCACAATGCCTATATTCAATTTGTTTATATACTTTATAAATATGATATGTTGGCCTTATACTTATATTGTGTTTCTATTAATAACATAAAGGAACAGGACGTTAAAAGGTGGAAATATTGTAACCATCAACGAAAACTCGTATAATTTACAGGATTGATGTCTCAACATTTTGATTAAAACTTCGATTGAAAACAGTCCTGGTTGTTATTATTTTGAATAAAATGAAATATTTACGGTTTACAAATACAAATAGTTTATTGGCACAAACAATTATTATAATTGGCAACACATTTTTACAGTACATTGTTAAAAATCCTCTTTCTTTCATTTTCGAGTTAAAAAAAAGTTGATCCCATATTCATATTAAATTTTTATTTCTATTGTAATTTTTTCTATGAATACAAAACAATATTTTACATTTATTATCTATCCTCCATAAATAATAAAATATCTGTACAGGTAAAATTTATTCTAATCAAGCTGGTTCAGATTGATTTACGGTACGACCTTCCACTCGGATATTGCACAGGTTAATATCACAGCAGGTGTTAATTACACTGAGACAACTGTCCGGCCAGTCTGACATCTAGACGGATTAAGACATCCATTATAATAAGTCTCTACCCGTACTGTATATAGCTAATTTTGAATTGATTATATTTCATTTCATTATATTTTCTGGATGATTTTGTCAAGTAACAGAACTGTTTATCATTTTCTGAAAGCAACTCCATCCATTTTCAAAAGTTTTTATACCAGCTCTTACGAAATCCAGCAACTTTTCGAATTTTTTTTCAGTACGCAAATTAACAGAAATCAGTTATCTGATTAAAAAAAATCAATGGTATATATCCGTAAAAAACAAATGAAAAAAAAAATTAAATAAATTTGTATCCTTACAGAATCAGTGTTTAAGTTAGCTTCATGGTAATGTGATGTTATAATGTTGCTTATATGTGATGCTGTCCTAAATAATTCTCTAATAGATTGTGTTTACAATGATGAGATGATATAATTTGTAGAAACAAGATGGTTCCCTGTTTCTAAGGATGCTACTGTAAATTCAGAAATTTTTGCGATGTTTTTATTAATACGAAAATTGTGTCGCGATTCAAAAAAAAATTTGCATTTTAAATTTTGATAGCATTATTTATATGCAGCTTTTCCTGAAATCGCAATAATCAAACCACATTTATGTTGATTATTCAACATTGGCAATAATAAATGCACACATTAATTTCTGAATTTACAGTATATGGTATATAATTTGTTTGAAAACTGGCATAATGAGCATGTGTGTGAGTGTTTTTTACTTATTTTTGTTTAGCCTTGATTCAGTGCTTAACTTACCTTTGAATTCTGAATACATCTTATTCCATATCCAACAGAATTAATATCACAATGAGATATCACAGCATGTGCTTGTAACGCTACCACCACACCCCCTTTACCCTGTGTGATCCGACATCGATGAATCATACATCCTCGAATGTCATCCAAAACTTTCTTCATGTCATTGTCCTCGATGATTTTGATGTGTTCTGATTGGTTCTGACTACAGATTGACTGTACGTCTGCTCCTAGACTGATTGACGAGATTGACCTTGGCATTTGATGGTCAGGATGTGATAACATGATAACTGATTCCTCTTCTGAAGAGAAATCGTCAGATGAATACGATACCTCTTCAATGTCACTGCTGCTAGTGGAACTACCACCTAAAATAAATTATAATATTAATGTTAAGTATTAAATAAATAGGATTGCTTTTAAAATAAGGAGGCACCCATACTTTTATATTTTTGATAAGAATATTACTCAGATAGGGTGTAAAAAAAAGTCAGGAGTGTGTCCATGGGACACAGATGATGCCCCTGCTTGCATATACACATGTAAAGTTGTAAAGGGACGTAACTCAAGAATTGTAAAAGTGATGCCACCCAAATTCGAATTCGAACTTGATCTGTGTTTTGTGGTAATAAGCTTAAGCATTGTGTATAAGTTTCATAACATTTGGTTGAGGCAAACTAAAGTTAGAGAAAGGAAACCAATTTTCGGGACGTACATACATACAGACAGACAAGGGTAATGCTTTATGACCTCTTCGCTGTGACGGGAGCATAAAAAGCCAGATTTTGTAAATGAGCACCCCTGTGTCACCCCCTCCCCCTGCCTTGAAAATTTCCCTCTTTACAGTAATTCATTTGTTCACCTACCTATATGATGATTTGAATTACCACTGTCCACTGACCCAGAATCAAACTCATCTGAATCTTCCCGATACAGACTTTCACTACTTCCTGAAAGTCCTGACCTATTACTATGGTTACTGTTAGCATTGGAATGGTGTGATGAAGCGTCATCATCATCAGGTAAATTTCTAGCATCATTTTCCATAACATAATGAGCACAGTTTCGTGAAGAGTCTATTGCATCACCATTTACGTAATCACTTGGTGATGGAGCATTCTCATTGGATGATGATGGACCATTCATATTGGATGATGATGGACCATTCTCATTGGATGATGATGGTCCATTCACATTGGATGATGATGGACCATTCACATTTGACGGTGAATCCTCAGGTAGCTTTAATGCAGACTTTTCCACTGTACGAGCAGACTGATCACATAAATTATCTCCCATTGTGGAAGTCTTTTGTGAAGAAAACATTTGTTCACTTGACTGAGATATTGTTGGTTTCAATTCATTATCTTGGCCATTTTGTCCATATTTTACATTGTCATTGCCTGATTTTGACAAATAGGTGGACAAATCAAATTTTGGCAACAAACTTGGTGTTGTCATATCAAATGACGGAAGATCACAAAGCACTGCTGTAGGTATGGGAAGATAATCCAAGACATCTGAATTTATCACCGATTCAAAATGCACTGACCCGTTTGAACTATGACCGCAATTCCCATGATCCTCTGTTGTCACCATGCTTGAAAATTTCCCTGAACTACATATACTTTTCCTTCTATGATCAAAATCACCATGATCTGTTGAAAAAGTGTACGATTTTTCAAGTGTCTTATGACCAGATGTCAATGCAGTTGATGCAGAATATGCAGAAAATGGAGCAACGTCTTTTTTCTGTCGATTGAAATTCTTGATATTACAATTTTGTGATATTTTTTCCAATAGAGAATTGTACGTCCAATTCCTATCATCTTTAGGATACCCTTCAATGGTGACTGCAGCTGTGTCAGTTTGTGAAAACTCGCAATTCTCAATAATACTAGCAGTCAAATGTTGAAAGATGACAGTAGCATGTCTGAATGTGCAGTATTTTATATGACTAGACCCAGGACTTTGTACGTAGACCATTCCGTCCTCCAATATACAGTTATCTACCTGGAGATATCCAAACCTTACCTGAAAAGGTATAAAACATGATTTATGTATATTAAGACGATTCTGTTATTTTTTAATAAATTATCACAAGTTTTATATGTATTTCACCTTTCAAACCTAAAGCTTAAAAAACATCGTGAAAATCAGCCTAAAAAATTAAATTGACTCAGTCAACATAAAAATGTAGGTTCCATGGTAACAAAAGGCAACTCAATATCAAATGGGTTTTGCTCATTGTCAAAGGCTGTACAGTGACCTATAATTGCTTACATCCATGTCATTTGAACTCTGCTGGATAGTTGTCTCCACACCACACCTATTTATTTTTATAACATAAACAATTTTCACTAAAATAATAAAATTCTTTTTTTTTAATCAAATGTTTCGGTTAAAGAATATCGAAAGGTTAAAAATCTGACTCAATTATTTCGATACCTATAACAGTCACATCATGATCAAAATGTGATAACAAGAATGTGATAACAAGAACATCTTATTGCTGTGTTGAAGACACATTGGTGGCCTTGGGCTGTTTTCTGCTTTTTGGTTGGGTTGTTGTCTCTGATGCATTCCCCGTTTCCATTTTCAATTTTACATGTTATGCTTAGCATACCTTCACTTAAAATTTAAATGGCGCAGTTGAAGTAGGTGCCTGACAGATTTGAAAAGTGCACACATGTTTCAACTCATCACTTTTGAAGTGCTGACCATATATGACATAATTTTGTTCAGTAGTATTAAAGAAATGTGTGATGAAAAATGCTAAGTAACTTATTGAAATATTCAAAGTATCTGAAAACAAAAAGTTTGACTTGATAAATCTGAAAAAAGCTCACACCACAGGGGCCGATCCAGCCATTTTCAAAAGGGGGGTTCCAACCATATGTCCCCATTCAAAAGCATTGATCATAAAAAAAGGGGGGTTCCAACACCCCCCCCCCCCCCCCCCTCCACCAATGAGTGGTTACAGGTGATACAATTTTTCGCCAATCCACGAAAATTGGTACCCAAAAAATTAATGAATCCACAATATGTTCTAAACAGAGAAAATTCAAAAATTTACATCCTTAACCGTTGCCATTTATATATATAATTACCTTTAATATAAAATTTGTAAACCATGGTGCTCTGAATACAAGGTTACTGACACGACCTGTCAGTCCAATCTGCTCAATGCAAACAACCAGAATTATACTTCCAAGCTCACCAACTCCAATCAATTCAAAAGGTATTTTGGATGACATCTCAAACTGTTCGTCATAAATCCCAGGATACACCTCAATTCTATCGTAATCATTGGCTACAGCTAAAGCACTCTTCAATGTGCTATGTTCCATATCTCGTCCTACTCTTATCACTTTTCGATCCTTCCTGCGTTTTAATACATACAAACAGTTAGTGCCTGGATCAGGCTCCTTGGAGTATCGACTCCAGAACCTTATAGACATTATTTGGTCTCTGTAAGCTTGTCGCCATGACAGTGGCTCAGAATCTGTGTTCAGGGGCCAATATGGGTGTTTCCAATCTGAACATTGTAAATATAATTCATGCCACCTTTAAACAATAAATATAAAATGTTTAGTAAGAATCATTTCATTTAAACACAATGCAATTGAAAATAACATTTTTAATTGAACTTTTTGTATAATTGATAAACTTTAAGAAGAATTTCCTTTTTTTAATACAAAGTATGACATAGTTATGTAGAGGTATCATAAAAGAATATAAGTTCAGCAAAAGTTATTTCCCTTAGGAACATGGTTAGAGTTATTTATTATTATTTAATTTTAGCCTATGTCTGTTCTGACAATATATATATAACATTATAGATGATGCATTTGCAAAAGCCTATATAACATTATAGATGATGCATTTGCAAAAGCCTATGTTTGTTGAGACATAATCTGACATAATAGAAGATGCATTTGCAATTATAACCTATGTTTCCTCAAACATAATCTGACAATATATGTGATACTTTGCAATAACCTATGTCTGTTTGACATAATAGATGATGCATATGCAATTACCTAACTAACTAACTAATTTTATTCAGTATAAAATCCAGTACAAAAGGATCATCGCTGAAATACATGAAAACATGGAAAAACAAAACAAAAATAAAACATAAAGAGACAACAATTGTGACACTTATAACAAACAATAGACAAAACAACCACTTCAATATTATGCAATTATTCCCACTGATGAATTTCTAATCAAAATACATTTGTCTATATATGAAAGAAAGATGTTGAGAACATCAGTCTCCGAACAGTTCATTAAATATCTAAATTTATCAAAATTATCCAAATTACAAAAACACGGTATAATATTAACAATGTCATCATTAATCTTTTTCCTCTCGTCTTGATATTCACATATAAAATGAAACTCATCTTCAATTTTGTTAACAATACAATGTTTACATATTCTTTGATCCGAAGGCGTATTATTATATATACATAACTGTCTAATATATTGTTTTGAGATATTCAACTTTGTATAAGTGTCAGGTTTATATCCCTTATTTAACTTGTAATATGTGCGTAATTTGTTTTGGTTTTCGCCTGACAAACATGAGAAAAAATATTTTCCATATCTTTCTTGTAATATCTTTTTCACTGCAGATATGAGTTTTCCTTCTGACAGTGTTCCTTTATTATTCCAGACATTGTCAAAACCAATGAATTTTAGAAACTAAAAAATGTGTTTGTTAAAGGTACATGGAAAGGTTCAATCAACATCTTCCATTGACTTCTACAACATACTGTAAATTCAGAAATTAATGTGTGCATTTATCATTGCTAATCAGGGATTACATGTACTTGTAAAAATGTGTGATATAATTTAAGATTGCAAAAATTTTGTGAAGGCAAATCACTACAAAAATCATAAATGCGAGTTTTTATTATTATAAACCATACTGTTGCATTTTTTCGTATAATAAAAACATCTCAATAATTTCTGAATATACAGTAATCCAACATAGTAGGGGATACATTTGTAATAAACAAAGTTTAGCTACTAGATCAAAATATTGCAACAAAAGAAGATGAAAATTTCTATGTCATATACATGTATGTAGGGTCTGTAAAGGTCATCTCTCCCTCATTTAATTTTTTCACACACCGGTATGGTGTATTATCAGTTAAACTTGAAAAATGATATTAAATTATATAAAAATAAATAAATAAAATTGTCTGAAAAAAGTTTATTCTTTTAAACATTATGTTTTTCTACAATCTTTTACCGAGTCCACAAACTTAAGAAAACAGGCAAAATAACTGAAATCCATTTAATAATTGGTTAAAATCATCCTTGCTTGCTTTTTATTTTATTACAAATTTCATGATTAATTGTGTTTACCTTGTGCTGTCCAAACTCATCACCAGATCATTCCATGTTTTACATACACAGGCTGATCCACAGAGGTCTTCAGCAGAGAGGTAGGAAAGTATAATTCTCCATATCTCCCATGGCAATCCAGATTTATCCCCTGGCAACACTTTACTCCCATTCTCAGCTTTTACACTGGGGGATGACATCTTACTAAGTCATCATATCATATTTAACTGAAAATAATGAGATGCAGAAATACGGAATTAAACATTGGCAAAATTGTTGGATTTTTTCAAAATGCTTGCACCTCAAAGACAATTTAACAATAAGCAAGTACATAGACCTATCTATAGCTTTCCCTTATTTTGACATACACATGTATAGAATACACTTTATACTGAAAAAGTGTTTCTTAGTGTTACATGGAAACTATACATGCAAGTTATCTATAATCCCATCCCCTTTTCCCCGAATCTGACCTACTGATTTAGACTTATAACTGGGTTTGTACCTACATGAGCAACACGACAGGTGCCACATGTGGAGCAGGATTCATTTACCCTTCCGGAGCACCTGAGATCACTCCGAGTTTTTGGTGGGGTTCATGTTGCTCAGCCTGCGTCTTTAGTTTTCTATGTTGTGTTTTGTGTACTGTTGTTTGTCTGTTGGTTATTTTCTTTCTTAGCCATGGTGTTGTCAGTTTATTTTCGACTTATGAGTTTGAATGTTCCTTTGGTATCTGTGCCTCTCTATTATCGTGAAATGATTGTATTTTAATAGATATTATCCTTTTTCTTCTACCTAACTTATTAAATATCCCTCAATTATTATGCCATAGGCAATATATAGTTTTCTTTCTTGCATACTTATCAATGAATTTACTTAGTAATATAAATTTGATTGGTGTAAACTGTTAAGTAACATTTTGAACATATCCTGCCATTGAATGTCAAATACTGATTTTTTAATTTGCATGAATGGATATTGATATCATTGTGTGTTTTAGTAGTAATTAGATTTGGCTCATCTCTACTTACTTTGTGGAATAAACTATCCATAGAATTATTTGAAGTACAAAATAATGAGCATTTGTATCCCTAACTGTTGTCTTGGTATACAAATGTACTGTATTTAATTTTGTACCTGACAGAGATTTACAACAAAAACTAGTTTCCGACAGGGATCGCTGACTTTAACTCTTCGATTGAACCAGAAAATCTAGACAAGTATGCACAACATGTTACACATCATTGAAGAGCTAAATATCTAAAAGTTATTTATTGAAACCATATTTGTTCCTTCTTGGCAGATCGGTGGTTGGTCACAATGATTTTAAATTTCATGCATTTTCCCATACATTTTCTGTGTCACAGTGATTATGTCACAGTAAGAACTGATTTTTCAATGACATCATTTACCCTAACATTGATATCTGGTCAACCACTGACACTTATTCATTAAAAAACATCTTGAGATTGGTCTATAGACAACTTTCGAATTTGTGCACATTTCCTATGTCACAATGCCTATGTTACAAAATGTACTATGTCACAGTAAGAACTAATGGTTCTATGATGCTGTTTAAGACTACTGACCTCAGGTCAACAGGTAAAATTTTAATTTATTCATAAATAACAACTCAAGATCGGTGTATTTAAGGATAACCCAGTTATATACTATAAATTTTACAATTGACAAAATTGCATTGTGACTTTTACCTAAGAACAATCCAACAGTAAACATAGAAAATAGTACGTAAATCGTTCGTTAAAATTTTTGTTAGAAGTGTGAATTTACGGCAACGTTCTATCGTGAATCTGATTCGTGTCATGCATGCCGACCCCCCTTATTTACATTTGGTTGGAGGTTTGCTTCAAAAACAAAAATGAATTTCAGGATATAAGCTATAACCTATAAAAGCACATTATAACCTTGTTATGCTGGTTGTATAGATATAATTTACTTCATCTGTAACTTCGAAGTTCTGTAAACAAGGCGACAAAAATTTTGTTTACTTCTTTGTATAATAACAAAAGTCGGAATCGGAATAACTTGTAATTTCCGGAATAGACGAAATATGAAATATAAAGTATATAAAGCATAAAATATAATGTACATAATGTGCAAACAAAGAAAATAAAAAAAAAGAAAAGAACCAAAATCCAGTACATGTATTCTAAAAGCTATTTTAATTTCATTTAAAACTCACTATTGATGCCAAATTATCTTATAATTAATGCAATAATTAAATAATCTTATAAGACAAAAGGAAAGAGATCAAAAATCCTCACAGGTAACATCCAAAACCACCTTGGTTAAAAAGAAATAAATAAATTATTTTATTTTATTATTTTAAAGTGTACTATTTTACTTCAATAAGATCTATATAAATGTAAGATTCACCAAATCCATTATGTATTTTACATTATTATGAAATCGCTACTCTTAAAATATTATAGAGGATTAAAATCCTGTTTTTTATCAAATCTGATCATATTTTACTTCATATTATCTTTTAACAATAACTGATTTACTTTTATTCTAGACTTTATATAAAACAATAATAATTAATTTTAACATATACATGAGTTGAGATAATTTTAAAAAATAAAACCCAAGTCCCTGTATATATGCCATGTAAAAAACAAAACTTTGTTTCTTTTATATGCAAGTGCTGTACATATTTAGAATGTGATTAAAATTTTAATAAGGCATTAAGGGTATATACTCCATTCGGAGGTGCTCCTACTTAAAGGAGGCTAATACACAGAAGAAGAAGACGATATTAAAGTTGAAATCTCTGGTATTTACTTATACTTTTGCTTTTATTTTTCAGCGTTATTTCTTAAATAATATTAGGATGGTTTTTTTTTTTTTTTTAATATGTATTTTGATTGAGTTAAACCATTTAAATTGATATTTTATAGTGTGTCTTTCTATGTTGTGATGTTACTCTATTGTTTCACATAGGGTGAAGGTTGGCACCTATTAAAACGTTTAAACCCGCTGCATTTGTTTGCACCTGTCCTAAGTCAGGAACCTGATGTTCAGTGGTTGTCGTTAGTTGATGTGGTTCTAAGTGTTTCTTGTTTCTCGTTTTTTATATAGATTAGACTGTTGTTTTTCTTGTTTGAATGGTTTTACACTAGTAATTTTTGGGGCCCTTTATAGCTGTTCAGTATGAGCCAAGGCTCCGTGTTGAAGGCCGTACTTTGACCTATCATGTGGTATAGGACCTTGTGGTTTTATTTCTTTGAGATCTATACACTTATACTCAAGTTATTGTCTGGAAAACATATGTCTATAGACCACAATGACCACATATCCACACCATTATAAAATGGCAAAAGTTTTGCAGTCTATAAAAACTTAATGTTGACCACACTTCAAAAAAAGGCCAAGGTCAGATGTATCTCATCAGACAATCATATTTACATTACAATCATTCTGTACACCATACATTGTTGACCTAGAGAATCTGACTGAGAACAGACCAAATCATGGAACCTAAATGATGACCAAATGGTGCAGGATAAGCCACTCAAATTAACAAATTTTTCGTAAATCCTTTTCTTATCCCAATCCATGCAATGTGATACAAAATATATCTCTTCATGTGAGAAATAGATCACAGGCAATAACCATAAGAGAATTAATTGTCCTTATTACACATAAAAACTGTCAAATTAATTTGAAAACAAATAATGTACACATACCCTTAAAAATGGAATCAAGATAATGTTCATATGCCAGATTAAACCAGACCATAAGGCAACTGCATACAGAGCAAAGAAGTTTCTGTGACATTTAAAACTCAAAATATGATGTTGAAAGATACCAAGAGATGGAAATATAAACTGTTGACACAGAGATATGTCTTGCGTTTTTTGGTGGTATAATGCAAATGTTGAAATTAAATTGCAATATTTAAACTTGTTACTATGCAATGAACCATGACGGACGGTTCAGGGCAAAATAAAAACACCATGGAAATTTAAATGCTTATAAAACTGCATACCCAACACCATTAACTTATCAATTGGTTCCTTGTTCAACTGTGAAAGTTTCAAAGTCCATGAACCATGATAAGGAAGTGGGACCAAATAATCTCTATGAAAATGAGACTTGCAAATGCCAATACAACTGCATACCAAATATCAGATATTAGTCACTCATCTTAAACTGATCTAATCACAAATCACATGTAAATAATGCAAAACATTCAGTTAATAAACCATGACTGAGGCTGGAGCTGAACAATCTCTATGGAACTGAAGATTTGTCAATGCTTATACATCAGTATACCAAATATCATTGACATACCACTTCTAGTTCCCTTTCAATTGACCTAATCACAAACTTATACATGTAAACTAATTAAAAGTTTTAAGTCGACTATGACTGAGGGAGAGAAGCAAAATAATCTCCTTAGAAATAAGATGTTTCAATGCTTATATAACTGCATACCAAATATCATTGACCTACCACTAGTTGTTTTCTTTAACTTGAACTTATCACAATCAAATACATTGTTGAAGCTGCTGCTTATGGAAAAAGCATGCCCAAGTCTCGCTTTTTCAACTTCGTCCATACCATACAATAAATCAGCTGTGTGTTACCCTTGACCACAGAAACCTCTTCCCCCTTTATTTGTCATTCAGACTCAAATAAAATATAAGATAGGTTTTCTCAATTAAATTTTTATTTACCTATTTATTTATATCATTATCAAGCATCATAATATAAAATACCCAAATGAAACCAGACCCACTCTGCTCAATCAAGTGTGTACAAATACCAAAGAAATTGTAATAATATTAAGTTTTTAGTCCCTTTATAAGTAAAAGGAGGGAAAGGATCTGCATCATTGGTAAGGTATCATTGGTTAAATATTACAATTATACAAAATAACTGACAGCGCTGAGGATTCTTTTTAGTTTCTTGATACCAGTTCCCAGACTAGCTGTTTCAATAGAATTTAGAAAATCAATTCTGTTCTGAGATACAGGTCTTAAATTTTAATATCCTTAGGTCTTAAAGGAATATTTTTTTTGCTCAATATCAAACTTGGTGCTTTCCAATACTTTCAAATACCAAACTTAAAATAAATTTATATAATTCCATAAAATATATGAATCCTCAGTTTGTCACATACGAAGAGGCATTTACAAATATAACAAGGAATACAATGGTAAATACTAAGATAAAAAATGCATGAAAATACATGAATCTAATTCATTTATGAGGTGTACTCAATTTATTTACTGGGTTATTTAAATAAACTAATATCGTGATCTGTGCAAAAATTATTAGATCACCAAGGAAATAGTTAACTGCATTTCATTAAACATTTATAACCCCGAGCTCTTATATTGTATATAAAGTTTCTTTATAATTCCTCCCAATTTCTAACCAAAGTCAATTCTTTATATCCAAGTAGGATAGTTATTTAACAATACATGTATGATATAAATATTTTTTTTTAATATTTTCTTTGAAACCATAACTTTTTTGCCCAGGAAGTAATAAGTAATTATTTCATATAAAATAAAAAGAGGAGATATGATTGCCAACGAGACAACTCTCCACCAGAGACCAAATGACATAGAATTTAACAACTATCAGTCACCTAAATACAGCCTTCAACCATGAGCAAAACCCATACTCATAGTCCATATCCTATAGGAAATGTGCCATAGTAAGCAAGTATATCATCTGTTTGCTCATCCGTCTACAACTTCCAATCACAATAAAAGGATTGAATTGTTTTTGCCTAAACTTTCAAATAATCTTCAGTATCTGTTGGCATTGTGTATATTTTTTTCACATCCAAAGGTTCCCCCAATCGAAGAATGGACTTTTCCATTTATAAAATTTTATTACTCATATTGAAGGATAGGTTGGTTCAGCTGATAAGAACATAGATTTAGTTAGAGCAAGATTCTGCATTTATAAATCTTGTAATTTGGTCAATCTTCAACGACCACTTCAATATTTATGTTCATTCATTTTTCTATTTTATCCACTAAGAAGAGTTAAAAGCATAATAAATGTCTGATCTCATTATGTAAATTTATATTTTGAATTGCATGTATAATCAAAATATATAAACTCAATCATACTAAGGCTTGGTATAACAAGATTTGACAGTAAAAACAAATAAAATCACATAAAAACCACTAAAATCAGATAAAACCAGTTAAAACACAAATCTTGTTATAGCAAAGCCTTATAAAATTTACATTAAAGCTACAGTGGTAATATATATCAGTGTGAACCCCAAATTTATTTTGAATTTAAGTCATTAAAATTTTGTCATAATGAGATCCAACTACTAAAAACATGATTAAAACAAATATATTTGAACCAACCTATCCTTCACATGATAAAATGGTGGTATGAGAAGCTTCTTTCCCTTTTTTTCAAATACTTAGGAGGTCCATTCATTACAATTGAGAACCCCAAAATTTCATTATAATAAAATAAAATACACACAGCCATTACATACAGAAGATAATCTGAAAGTTTAAATGAAAACCTTCCAATAGTTTATAAGCTGTGGATGAGAGATGATGATGGACAAACAGACAGACAAATCTTCTTTAGTAACCTTTTTATGCTCAACATGAGTGCAGATGGGCATGGGATTTGGTCCTGCCCTGGGTCATATCAAAGAATTGAAAATTGGTATTTGATGCTCCCCTGCGAAGCATTCAGCAATTAGTAGGAGCAAAGACTGGTCAGCTGGAAGTCAGAATAATGTGTTCAGGTAGGGTTAGATGTCTTGTGCAGACTTTTACATTATGAACTAGCACATTAAAAAAATCTTGCATTTTTAATTATCCATCCATCCTTCAAAATCAAAACTTCTTTTACAGGATCCTGGTTATACATGTGAAGGGGGGAGGTAATTGTTTAGAAGCTGAGTACAAGCCTCAAAAATCAAACATTAAAATATAAATAATCATAAATGAGAAAAAATATGGAAATCAATCACACAAAATATGAAAATATGACAAACTGCAAAAACTATGTAAATATTTTCACTTGAGTGGTCTCAAATGCTGAATAATGCATTTATAATATATAAACAAAACCAATAAATAAAACTGACAGCCATTAATTTGTATGAATGTAAAGAATGCAGAGTCAAAACAAACCATCTAACTAAACATTTTTATTTCTAGTTCATATTGCACCAAAAACTCAGTACTTAAATTGTTTAATAGGGGATTTGTTTTATTCCCTTTTAGTGTTTGGCCATCAAAGTCCTACTTAATAGGTTTCTAACCAGAAAAAATCATTTCACAAAGGACTTATAATTCTTAACCAGTGTACATAACTTAAAAAATATATGTAAACTGAAGCAAGTCTTATGGGTATCTTGTGAAACCATACATCATACCTTTGGGACCTCTCAAATAACAATAATTTCACAGTTTTTTTTATATTTCTTCAATCACAAAACAATAATTGAATGCAAGAAAAAATAATGAAATAAATATTTATAATTTGAATAATAAAGCATTAAAAATTAATTGCATTTATAATTCATTCTGCTTATAAGACAAATATCTGCTGATTTTTTTACAAAAGATAGCAACAGTTCATCCAATGGTTTGCAGGATTGTAGTCTGAGGATTTTACCATACAAGGAAGGCAGCAACAGCAACTCTTTCGACTGAAAAAGAAAGAGTTAAATTTCAATTGTTGATTCTTAATTTTAAAATAATCTAACAGGAATAAAGAAACAGACATCAGTGTATGTTAAACAATTTGTTTATTACTTATATTGATTACTCAAAAATATATAGTATCGAAAATATCCGATTTTATTGTTATCTCCCCTTCATATATCTTCTTCCGATCTAGTATCTGCTTTAAAGGGTACATTATTTTAAAATGAAAAGATTGAATACTGATTTTTTTTAACTGTAAATTAAAAAAAAATATATATATTGAAATCTATTTAGTGACATTCATCACACTATAACATAAACACATTAAAGTTGTATGTTGATGAATAAGTTCTCACCTTATACACATGTAACAGCTTTGTCCCAGCAAGTAACCCAATGGAAACCTGATGCTAACCTGGAATATAAAAGTAGTCAGTCAGTTATACTAAACTTTCCTAAAAAAAATTATTACACATGTACTAAATTTAAAATTGCACTAGGATAACAAAAAATCATGGAAAAAATATTTGGTATTCTGAATTATAAACTCAAGTTTTATATTTACCAAAAAAATTCAACCGGTATCTCATCAGTGTAAAATTATTTTTTTTGTACTAAAGAACCTTATGAAATTGATTTTAAATATTATATTACTAAAAAGATGCTTGATTACCTACCAACATGTTAACAATATCAGACATCCAAGTCTTAATCCCAACACCATGAAAACATCATCATTATAACAACCTAAAAATAAAAAAAAATAAAAAAGTAATAAATTGTTTTACAGATCAATCTGTCTCTTAGAAGACTAACAAAATAATGCTATGTTTCATTTATTAAAACCTGTTATACATTATCATCTTCACTATATAAACTTTAAACTGCTAGAGATAGAAATTGACCTTGTGCAAGTGCACGTGTATGTATAAGACAATGATTTTGGAATATTCAATTACAAAATCGGATGGTTTTGTTCTCTTTTGATGGTTCTTAAAATCATTTAATAACAGCGTAGACAATCCCAATACTTATGTTGGTAATAATACTAACTCAATTACTGTAAATTCAGAAACTATCTCAATGTTTTTATTATTGTGAAAAATGCAACATGGTTGTATTGGCAATAATTTAAACTAGCATTTTGAAATTTTTTGTATGAATTAAACAGGATTTTTCTCAATATTGCAAAAATTAAAATCGCATTTTAGTCTAAAATTACAAAATCACAATTAATGAATGGTTATTATATTTATTTTGAATTTATTGAACCATAAATTTAATTTTTGACTCTTCACATTGAATTATCCGCGAAGCAGATTTATGTAAAATGTGAAGTCAAAAATTAATTTTATGGTTCAATAAATTCAAAATAAATTATAGCCATTCATTATAAATAAATTTCTATCAAAAATAAGGCTCAAAGAACTTTTTATATTATTTATATTAACCATAATAACGTTCACGCATGTTGGCGTATGAATATACAACGTCATAGTGGGCGTGTCGCCATAAAAATTGACAACATTGAAAATAAAAGTAATACTTTTAACCAATCAGAAGACAGTAAATACACCAAAATTTATTTATTAATAATTGCACCCAATAATTTCTGAATTTACAGTACCTTTAACTTGTTTGCCATTGGCTATCGATAACAGTGATTTTACGCTCACTCAGTCTGTCAGAGGCCTTCCAATAGGGATTTAAATAGAATAAAAGAGCAAGGTACATGTAGGCACAAGAGAAGAAAAAAAGAAAATTATTATTCAACATTTAAATCAACACACAAGGTTTAATCCTCTGCTAGTAATTCGTACTATTTGATGTGGGCATTTACAACCAGTTTAAATGTCTATAACACATTCAATGTGACAAGTGGGCGTTACAGACAAACTTTCACCTTATCTGACCCAGTCAATAGATAACATAAGAGCGCCAAGAATCGTCTTGTCCATGCTTTTATGAAAATGATTCTATATCAATTCAATATTCAAACAGTTACAGACTTTGCATAAAAATTTGTTCGACCCAAATAAGATTACAAATTCATTGATAATAACTTGCATACAGTTGGTTTCTATCCAACACAGCTCACTCGATACCAGACAGAAAACAAATGTAAGTCTAGATACTCTAAAAATCAAACACTGATAGAAAAGAACCATTAAAAAATAATGTTAAATGCCTATATATATTATTACCATAAAATTTGTGGAATATATAAACTTACCACATATTTTTCATGATAAAGCCTCAGACTTGGTGAAGATTAAATTGACCATCTCCCTTAGAGCTGCTCTCCCGGCTGACAAGGTGGCTCTCCTCATCATCTTAACATCTTTTTTTTTTAAATATAGTTTTATACATTAAATATATCAGATGCATTTCCAATAAATCCCCTTTCTTGAACATTTCAGCAAATCAATTGTTAATGACCCAAGATTTCTCCCACCCTGCATACTTATTATCTAGAGCTCTGCTTACATTTATTTTTTTTATTACAGAGCTCTAAATAATAGTCAATATTAGCTAGTATACATCTGATATTAAAAAAAAATGTACAAACATGAATATCCAAGTAGATGAAAATCCTAACATCAAGGGAATTTCAAGTATGTGGAGTTAATCAGGGGTATAATAAATTGTCTCCCTTTGACCCAAATTTCACCCTGTTTGGACTCCACATCCTTGTTATATTAAACAAAATAAATAAAATAGTACAATTAAAATTAAAAAATAGATTGATAACAAAAATCTAACACATTTCAATAAAATATTTCGTACTGATCGACTTATGGTGGCAGAGTGGTCCTATAAGTAGTTCAACTACTGTATTGTTTTCTTCTTTACAAACATCTGTGCAGCTTTTAAGCATCTAGACTTATCAAATGTTGATATTAGAGTATAATAAAATAAAGTTAAACAATTAAAGGAGGTAAAGATGAAAAAAGTTATTTTCAAAATTTTTATTTTTTAATTGTTCTTAGGTACAAAAATAGAAAAAGAATTATTATGATATGTTTTTGCATTCAATTTATTTTAGATTTAATCTTTTTACCAAAAAACATTAGTTTAAAGAGTATATTGTGAAAGGTGAAAAAAAGGGGAAGTAACTCAAATTGTTTTTAAAACAACTTTGAAATACACAAATTATTTACGACCTAAAGCTAAGGTAATCGGTGTTAATTAACAGTGTGTTTGACACCAAAGCTGTCAAGTGAAGCCATGCACTGAAATGGGTCACTTAATTTGAGTATACACAGCTAGTTGAACTTCTTGTCCATGGAGAATTACAAATTTGCCCGTATTTCAACACTGTTCAAAGGAAAATCACTTATGAAATCAGTCTGAAGGATTAGGAATCCGGGTGAAAACAGGCCCTTTTTTGGAATTCCCGGGTTATTTAATGACCCGGGGGGTGTTCCGGGTGACCCCTCAGAGTTGTGAAAATCTCGGGTCACACCCGCAGGATACGGGTCAGTTGACAGGTATGGCCTTTTGTAAAATTATTCTTTAAAAAATATCACCTTGGTTACAAACCAAAATCAGCAAAAAATGACAAAAAAAGTGCAAAAAATATATTGCTAACTTCTTAACATGAAAGAAAAGGTTGTAAGGGGATATATTTACTGCAGACCATTATTCATCTTTTTAGTTTACACTAGAGAGGCATTTGCTATGGTAAGGTATTTTGAAATGTTGCTAAAAAAAACAAAAATAATTAAAATTTGCTAAGAAATTTAGTGGGAATATTCACATCTGCAGATTTAATTGCATTAACTACATGTATAAAGTAACTTGTAAAATTTGAAAGTATCTCAAATCCTAAAATAACAAAAAGATGGCAAAAATATATACATTACAATTTGCAAAAAAAAAAATACATTTCAATAATTGAACATTTTTTTTTTCTTTTTTCTTTCTTTTTCTTTTAGATTATCCATTCTTAAACTGCTGGAAATGTTTTGACTAGACATGAGTATAAACGGAAAATAGAAAGAATTTTTGTAATGTCAAATACAAGTTAACCTACAACTTCCAATCTTGTTAAAAATGAAGAATCTTTACATATTTTTTTTTTTTTTTTTTGTAAAAAAATTATAAACATTTTCTCAAGCATACACAAAAATAGTCTAAATTACATTCTTTACTGTTGCAGTTATATCACACAACCATTTTATGCAGCCACAGTTATCTGAAAAAGAAATATACATTACTCATGAAAATTGAAATAATATTTAATGCAAAACAATTATAATTAACTGAGCATTACAATTATAATGTATAAAACATTTCTTTTTCTTTGTTATAAAGTGATTTGTTTACATAAATTTTAAAGTACCAGTATTTCTTAGCAATAAAAGGATGAAAAACAAGTCATTGGCTGATGTCTTGACAAATATCTTTTTAACATTGTTTTATAGCTATATATAGTATATCAGGCTATTAACATACTTGATTGAATTTTTTAACATTTAGTCATGTTGAACCTTTATAGCTAACTATACAATATAGGTTTTGCTCATTGTTGAAGGCATAGGGCGACATTTAGTTGCATCCACATCATTTGGTCTCTGGTTGATAGCTGTCTCATTGGCATACATACCACACTTACATATTTTCATATATGGGGACAACTATAGATAACAAAAAAACTGAAATCCCAAGATTTCGCATTATACATTACACTTTTTGACTTCCCTTATATATCTTTATATCTCCTTCTAAATTGTTTATTCAACTATAAGTAAAGAAGACATCAATATGTAAGATTTACATCTGTGCCTAACAAAAATCTTGGGCTTTAAAATGCTCTTGGATGAAAAGTTCATAAATGTATGTATTGATTCTTACCATAAAAGTCAGCTCCAATGCCCACTCCCAGCTTCAATCCTTACAGACAAGCTGTGATGCTAACCTGAAATATAAAATGATAATTCATTAATAAAACCCTGTAACTCGGAAATGTAAAATCTAAAATTTATAAAAATCCAAAGGGAGTTCATGTCAATAGATATAAACAATTCACCACAATTTCTTGCAAGTTGGTGAAAGCATTCTTGAGTTATTGTCCGAAAACTGGAAAACCTCCCTTTTTTTAATGAATAAAACCCCATAAACTAGGAAACGTAGAATCTAAAATTTATAAAAAACAAAAGGGAGCTCATGTCAATAGATATAAACAATTCACCAAAGTTTTATGCAAATTGGTTAAAGCGTTTTTCAGTTAATGTCCGACATGTTGACGAAGGACGGACAGACAAGGGTATACCATAATACGTCCCGTAAATGGGCGTATAAAAACTGTTTAAAAGGTTCTTTGTTGGTATTATGTATGTATATTGAATAGATTGAATGATTGGTTGTTGGTTTCTTAAGGTCCAGTGGCAAATCATTAAATAGAAATAGTCTTAAAATGTGTTATATATGTAACACTCTCAAACGTGTCCATCCCCCCAAATGTGTCCGATTCCCCCAAACGTGTCCTTGAAATCCCAAATTGCTGAAACGTGTCCGATAATTGTTATTCGCCAAAACGTGTCCAGTTTTAAACGCCAGAACGTCTCAAAGCTTTTAGCACTAATATTTCCCAAACGTTTTTATAGCATTAGTTCGTTCAACGCCGGTTGTTTATATTTAGCATAATTGCAAGTTTTATTTGCAACATATACATTAATTCTTGACCGTTGATTGCTTAATGTCCAGTGGCAAATATTCCATGCATATTTAGAGCGAACTTGAAAATTGCAATTAATTAGTTTTGTACGGTTAAATTTATAGTTTACTTAGTGAATTCTTTTGTACTAATATACTCCGCTGATGTCCAACTACATGCATATTAATGATGTTTGAAGAGATATCACGGATTCTTTTATCAGCTCTTCAAAGTGTGTACTGGTATTTTGTTTTATTTTTGTAGTTTTGTTTCGAACATCAATAAAAAGACATAAACAAGAGGAATAAATTTGCATGTATCATTAAGTAATTTTTAATGTGCATCATTGTTTTAACTGGCACATTACGTATACACGAAATTAATTGTGAAAGAAGTTAACTGATTGTTGCTTGCTTAACGTTTTGTGGCAATTTTTTCATGCATATTTCAGACAATAAATTGATTGACTGTTGGTTGGTTAACGTCCAGTGGCAAATATTTTATGTATATTCAGGACGAGAACATATTAACACTAGATACAATAAGTAGGTCTATAATAAAGGCACTTTCCATACACGAGGTTTCGGATTTAACATCCTTATTTTGACCGAATATGGCATCGTACTTTTACATCCCGCACAGCCAAACAGACGCCCCAAAAAAAAAAAATGGACACGATTGGGCGTCCTAATGAAAAGAGACACATTTTGGCGCCCTTTAGCACCTAGACATGTTTTTTAGTTCAGTGACGTCATATGGACACTTTTGGGGGAATCGGACACGTTTGGGGGGATGGACACGTTTCTGAGTGTTACATATATGTCAAGAGACAGCAATATATGTCAAGAACATATGGATGAGACAGCAATCCAACAAGCCAACACATTTTTATGTAAGCAATTCAGAACCTAAACTTTACTCTTATTTGGTTACTGATATAATAATAAGAGTAGATTCCTGTAAAAAATCTTTTAAGTGTTCAAATCTTGTTTTTCTAAAAAATATTTATAATACATTTGAGTTTTCCAAAACAGGATTAACATACTGGTACATACCTTTGTATTAGCTGTATAAGACCACCAAGTCTTATTCCCACACCATGAAAACATGTCTCAGAAAGAACCTGAAATGAAATTATAATCAACACATTATACATTTTGTAAATCAATTTATGTGTTACAGATAACCTAAAATTTACTAAATATTGTTTTGATTTCTTATTGCAGGTAGACAATTGACAAAATGTATAAAATCATTTTTTTTTAAATCAATATAAAAGATAGAAAAGTAAAAAAATGTCAGATTTAAATTTAATTGCACAAAAAATATCTGAATATTTTACAAAGTTATCTCCCATTGAATGCAAAATCGTGTTTTAAATTGTACTGGTCTTTTCTTGAAGTTTAATGACTATTTTTAGGATTTACTATTGATATTTCAATAGAAAATCTTGTTCATGTATCTTGTATCTTTAAATACTAAACTGGTAAATTAATTCATCAATGGTGTTTTAAATGCAATATTTCAGAAGGGTCTGTTATCTTAAAAGATCTGGCTAAAATAAACTTGCCTTTTCTATTTTCATGGTAAAGAGTCAGACTTGGTTGAAGATTTAATTGACCATCTTCCTAAGAGCTGCTATCCTGGCCGACAAGGTGGTTCTTCTCAATATCTTATTGTCAATCTATGTTGTGTCCATTTGTTTTTAGAAAATAAAGTAACATACATAAAAAATATCAGATGCACTTTCAATTAATAAACTTAATGAAAAATTTCACGTAATTATTCTAAGTGACACATAATTTTTCCCACCCTAAATTTCTATTATCTAGAAAACATCTGATATGTAAAAAAGTGCATAAATGTGAGTATCCAAGTAAATAAAAATCTAACATTGAGGGAATTTCAAGTATTTGAAGTTAAACACAGTATAATAAATTACCTCCCTTTGACCTAAAATTCACCCTGTTAGAACTCCACATCTTTGTTATATACAACAAAAAAACATAAATAGTATACCGGTAATCAAAATAAAAAAATAATTAAATTACAAAAATTCAACACATTTCAATAACATATTTAGTGTGGATGGAGTAATGCTGACTGAATGGTCAAAGTAGTTCAACTACTGTATCACTAGCCTGTCAACACTCTGAACCCTCACATTGTAGGTGTGTTTAACGTCAATCTTAATTGACTAGAGTTGCCAGTTTCTCTGTTGAAGGGGATGTTTTCACCAGGCTGTCTCCACAAATAAAAACTGGCAGCCAAGATATAGCAAATCATGCTGAAAGTGGTGTTAAATACCAAAAATTAATCAATCTACTTTCATCAAGATATTCTTCAACTATGCTTCTTGTAAAATATTCTTAAAATAATATACCCTTTGTTATAAACTCGGCTAAAAATATATTACAATTTTCAAAAATAAAAAACATTTCAATAATTGAACATTTTTTTCTTTTTTCTTTTTTTTAGATTCTCCATTCTTAAACTACAGGAAGTGTTTTGCCTAGACATGAGTATGAACAGAAAATAGAAAGTAATTTTTGAAATTTCAGAGACCTATTAACCTACAACTTCCAATCTTGTTGAAAATGGAGAACCTGTACATAATTTTTTTTTTCTTTTTGTAAAAATTATAAACTTTTTCTCAAACATACACAAAAATAGTCTGAATTACATTCTTTACTGTTACAGTAAAATCACAGAGCCCTTTTATGCAGCCACAGTTACCTGAAAAAGAAATATACAGAATTAAACATAATTGTCAAAATCTGAAAATTGAAACAATATCAAATGAAAAATAATAACTGGTCATTATAATCATGATTCATAAAACCTTTCTCTTACTTTGTTTAAAAGTGATTTCTGATATATTTTTTGAACTACCAGTCTTTATTAGCAGAAAAGGATGAAAAACAAGTCAATGGTAGATGTCTAACATATTTCTTTTTTTACATATTGTTTATTTTTTGTATTGGTTCTTACCATAAAAGTCAGCTCCAATGCCCACTCCCAGCTTCAATCTTTACAGACAAGCTGTGATGCTAACCTGAAAAATAAAATGATTAGTCATTCAAGATTGTTTAAAAGGATCATTTTTGATATACTGTATGTATATTCCATATTTTGAATGATTGATTCATTTGATTGTTGGTTGCTAAATGTCCAGTGGCAAATTAAATAAAAGTCTATAAATATGTAATAATAGTTGAGAACAGCAAACCAGCATCCCAACAAACTTTTACATAATCAAATCAGATAATTAAATTTATTCCTTTAAAGGCAATTAAAGAAAACAAAGACTTCTTACCAAACTCCTACAAACCTTCACGCTTAGAGCACATGCTATTTCCAAATACATTTTATAATACTTTTTCTTTTTTCAAAAGACTAACATACTGGTACATACCTTCATATTAGCTGTATTAGACCACCAAGTCTTATTCCTACACCATGAAAACATATCACAGAAGAACCTAAAAAGAATTAAAAAAGACACATTATATATTTTACAAATCCATTTCTCTATAAATATAAAGTCACTATATAATGTTCTGATTTCTTACAAAATGTACACAATAGTATCAACACAAGTTTGTAAGATAAACTGTTGACAGAGATGTCTCGCCTAGCAGCGGAAAATGAAAAACATTTGATGATTAGCAACATTGCTAATTAATTCGATAATTTTTTAGTAATGCAAATAAATACAAAATGTCATTGATCTATAGCAAGGAGTAACTATTAACCTGACTAAACAGAAAACTTGACATAATAAAAATAAAACAAGTCAAAGGTTTTTGTTTGGAATTTAACTGCACAAAAGTGATGTGCAAATGTAACAGTTAAATCCCATTGAATGAACAAATCTTGCTGTTAATTGTACTTGTCTCCCCTTGAAGTTTTAAATATTTTGATCAAAATCTTGTTCAAGAAAATGGTAACTTAAATTATAAAACTTATTAAAATTAATACATCAATGGTGTTTTGCATGCATCAGAAGGGTGCGCTGGCGTGTTGTCTTAATATGCTCTTGTCGCATATTTCTAGAAAATGTATACAAATATTTGGCTTAAATAAACTTGCCTTCTTAATTTCTTGGTAAAGCCTCAGACTTGGTTGAAGATTTATTTTTACCATCTTCCTTGGAGCTGCTATCCTGGCTGCTTTCAAAGGTTTTCCATCATAGTATTTTATGCTAATCAGTCCACTGAATCCATTTTATATAAGTAATGAAATGTCCTTTCCATTGTACATTATAAAATGTGCAATAGTCACCAGAATGTTCCAAGGCATCTTACATTATTTTTCCAATCACGGAAACTGAAGAAATTCTCAATTTAAAATACAAATAATTTATTAAATTCATTTAAAAAGTACTCTAAAAATACCAGACATGCTTTTAAACAGGTAACTTGTATTTTGATAGTTTACGAAATGTATTCTATAGCCCACAATTTCTTCCACTCATTAAAAGTATATTTTAGAACTATGTTTACATTTTTTTTATTTACAGAGCTCTAGATAATAGCTTTTATATAAGTTACCAGACATCTGATATGAAAATACTTATACAAATGTAAGAAAAAAAGTACAGTGTAGTAATAGTATAATAAACACATATAAATCAACATTTTTTAAATATTTTGAAGCATAGTTTAATAAAAAATATCTCATTTTCAAGGTTTACTACACATGTACATAGTAGTCATGTATAGTCCCAAAATTTGTAAAAGCCTCTATAGATTTTCAAAATCTCTGTGAATTCCAAAAGATATGGGTTAAAAACTATCTATTTTACCTTTGATGAAAAATTACTTAGTTCCAAAGTCAGGAAAAAAATTATCAAACAATTCCATAGTACCAAGTGGACAATTTAAATATTTGTACAATCATTGTGTGAAGTTAAAAAGATTGAGATTGAAAACTGCAGGAGTTGATTACACAAAATCAGTACCATCTTTGAAAATTTTGGAAAACAATCATCAAGATCAGAATTAAGGGAAAAATGGAGGGAAATTCCTCAAACAATTTCATAATGTACGCAATTATTCTGTGAAGTTTCAGTGGTACAAGAAAAAGAAGCTGAAATGAAAAAATACAAATATGATGCAAAATGATATTATATGTATCAAGTATGAAATCTTTAGATTTAATAAAAAAAATTTAGAAAGAAAAATTATGAACTCAAAGAAATGATATAAATACTGATTCTTTATAATAAAAATTAATTTCAATACTTTATAATTTAAATTAATTTCATAACTCAAATGGCACGTAATACTTCAATAAAATAGATTTTTACTTTTTACTTTAGTTTTATACTTGAAAGAAAAATAGTAGCAAAATTTACAATTGAAAAAGTAAAATTTTTTGTTCCCAGATTATTTATGATAGCATTTTTGATTGGTTATATCAAAATTTGTTTTATGTAAGATTACTTTCAATAACTTTTGTCAGAAAAAAGGAAAATCACTGATATCTTGACAATAATGGACTGAGGCAAGGTTACTGCACTCTCTGGAATCATTGGTTCCTTAAATGGATAAGAACCAGAAGCAGCCAATATACAGACTTACAGGAATCAGCTCTTTTTTGCTCCCGGGAAAAGAAAACAGATTACCAGTTAAATCTAAAATAGTCTGGTTATCTTTAACTTTTTTAGTGATTAAATCCCCAAAGTCTGAAACAGGGTCTAATATAAATCTAAAACTGCTTGGTTAACAGAACTGATTGTAAGCTATCGCTCAGGCAAAAATAATCACGTATATAATGCCTACCCATGTTAAATCTACAATAAAGTATAGCTTGCAACAATTATTTCTTAATTGTTATGGACTAATGGAAAACTCCTTTGAACTAATGAGGCTAAAGTTGGATCCCTGTTAAAGAGTCAAGCTCTTAGATTACTCTTTGTCTGGTCATGAGTTTCAAAAAGGATCCAATGAAGAATAGCTGCAGTCAGTTATTGATAATTGGGTTTTACTTATTTTATTTTTTTAAAGTATTTTATGATGGCAAGTGTTTTACCTATATTGTAATTACCAAATTTGAAAAAGATAGAATGGTTTGATACCAAGGAGCAAATTAATTTATGTTGTAATTCAAACGGTATGATAGGGTTAAGAT